TAGCCAAAAAGAGAATCAAAGAAAAGCAATTAACATTTTTAGTCCAATAACCAAGCCACCTTGAATTACCACTGAATGTTCACAATAATTTCAAAACATAGACTGACCCAGTATAATGTAAAGAAATTAAAGCTAATCACAGCATAATGTTAAATACTAATCAAAGATTCCAACAACTACAACCAATCTCAATACAAATATAAATCATCACAGCCCATTCAAACATTATAAAATTCATTCTAAGACCTAGAAATCACAATTATAATGAAAGAAGTAAAGATTAGAAGAGTTGAAACTCCCCTTTGAAGCTCCAAGTTCAAGCCATAAACACTGTTCTAGAGAATTGGAGGATTTAGCTACTCTTAACCATCACAACCACAGCTCCAACAAACCAATTCGGTTCAGCCATGAAGAACAAAGAAGATGAATGCTGGGATGTGATTTCGCTGTGGAAGCTCACGCTGAATCCTCTCCTTCACGCCGCTGGTTTTCTGTTCCTCTTTGTGCCTCTCGCGTGTCCCGCCTCTCCTTTTTATTTTTCTTTTTCGCCCCGCCCCCCTTGCCTTGCGTCCCGCCTATTGAAGATGATTATAATAGGTTATTAGTGGTTGCGTTTTGCTCCCTTTTTTTTAATTATTTTTTTTTTCTTTTCTTTTCTTTCTTTTCTTTTTTTTTTTTTTTTTTTTCTTTTTTCTTTTTTTTTTTTTTCAAAATCTTCTAAAAACCTGCAAGCAAAAATTCAAAGATAAGGTAGCATTAATTGTCCTCAAAAATCAATTAGTCACAATTAAACTAAAATATGACAATTTTGCCCCTATAAAATAATAATTCAAAATAAAATAAATTAAATCAATTAAGACAAAAAGAGTAATTAAGCTGACAAAACTCATATAAAAGATATCAAAATATATAAAAATAATTGAGTTTGTCAGTGGATTCTCGCCAGACAATGAAAAACTTGCTTCTTTTTTTTACCAGCAATGAAAAATTACTATTACTTTACTTCGGTTTTTTCCTTTAACAGCTGCGGCCCACTTCAATTCAATCCTTTGGACAGCTGCCTGCATCGGAATTTTTAAAGTGAAATAAAGAATGATTTATTGGAATCCTACAACAGAAGGGATGGTGGGTTGGAGAAAAGATCCCTATCTTTTATGATACTCCTGTTTGGTATGAAACATTGGAGATCAAGAATAAGAATTGGGATTACAATTAAAAGAATCATTAAAAATTTTTTTAACATAAATAATTACTTATTACATGAGATTAGGTAAGGCCATAGAAGTAGGATTGGAAAATACAAATCATTTCTCATATTAAATACTATTTTGTCAATCTCAATCTTAATTCCTATTTCCTATTTTTAATGCTTCGTATGCAATGCTATATGGGTATAACGTGGGAGTGAAAGGCAGGAGGCAACGGATAAAGTCATGTTTGGGGAAAGGAAATGCATGCAAGACATATAGCGGATAGGACCGAATCTGATTCCGTTGATGTGATGCAAATCAAAACGCATGATAAGTCCCCCAATCCCCAGAGAAACAAGTGCTTGTGTGTGTGTGTGTGTGAGTGTATATAAATATATAACCGACCACCGCATCACCGTGACAAGAAAATTGAAAAAACCAGAAACCGGTTCTCATGGTTTCCGATGGCGCCTCGAATATCACGTTGGCATGGCACCGACCTATTATAGTTTTGGTTATAAATAAGAGGCATCACCCGGTGCGTTCACTCTAATGTTTGATGACTCTGCAGAATTTTTTTCCGAACTGAGACTGTGCAGAATTTGAAAGTAGGCGTTCATCAGAGGAAAACATGTCAGGGAATTCAAAGGCGCTGAAGCTGCAAAAGGCGGAGGTGAAGGAGGAAGAGGAGAGAGTGGAGGAAGGAGAGAAGGCGGTGATGAGGGTGACGAGGGAGTTGCAGATAAATGGGGCTGGCAAAATGGAAATGGATAAGCAGCTCATCCTGAAGCGTATTCGTCAGAGGAAGAGAATCAACAGGCTCAGAGCCGCTGTCCAATCCCTCGTCACCTCCCCTTTCTCCACCAAGGCCACCCCTCCCACCAATTCCTCCCTCCCCGATCCTTTCACCTTCTTCTAGTTAATTCCCTTCTTTTCTTTTCTTCTCTGTAAAAATTGTACGCCGCCCTGCGCTCTTGTATTCTCTTTACTTGTTGCCAAACTCTTTTATGTACTCAGTTCCTACTGATTAACCTCTTTTATTTTTGTTTACTATCACCACTTCCCAAGTTGTGTATACATAATAATATGCCATGCTTTCCATTACTTATCTAATCTCTCCCTTCCTATGCTCTTTTTCTTCTTTTTCGTGCCACTAATCAAGCCTCGGCACCTGAATTTTATTTCCGTTGCCTTCCCCCAGTCGATTGCGTGCTTATACTGCAAGTTTCTCTTCGTTATCATCAATTCGTTTCATCGCTAGTTGAGGAACAAAAGAAGTAGGAGACTATAGGGATCAGACGTAGAGATACGGAGACAGCAACTAGAAGAGGTCGAAACTGGGAAGGGAGGAACATGCGTTGGTAGTGAGGAAAAGGGAAATAAAACAAAAAGAGAAACAACGAAAAACCGTCGATTTTGAGAAGAACCACTGACCAAATCCAAAGCATATGGTGGTTGCTCGCTGCTGGATGATCAAAGAAAACAAAAGCCCTGCTTGGCGCTACTTGTTTTTTCGGGATTCCCTGAACTCTCTCACGGGAGGCATCATGGGCCAAAAATATTGTTCGGAGGGCAATATAAAATCCTTCTTGGGCCTCTACTTTTCTCACTTAAAAATACTGTTTCAACTCAACTGGCCTAAACTTCAATTTCTTTTTTTAAACAAAATATGGAGAATTATAATGAGGTCCTGGGGAAGGAAAAAAAATTACAAAATAAATCTTAGAAATTGTCATTCTCAATTTTAAAACTTATCATTACAGGCTGTTCAAGTTATTATTAGAACATCTTAATAATTATTATTTTTAGACTTAGTTGTAATTCTCCCTACAAAAAAGAAAGAAAATAAAAGAAAACTATGCCCAGGGACCCGCCTCCTTTGCTCCCTCCCTCCTCCCCATAATCTTTCTTCCATTGAACTCTTTCAATCCTTTTGAAAAAGAAAAAGAAAAGGCAAAGATAGTTGGCAGAAAAGTGGGGTGTAGAGCTCCCTGAAAAAATGGTTCTAATGATTGGGTAATTTTCATACGATGACCATCAAAAGAAGTACAAAGATCATTTGAAATAGATCTCAATTATCTCGACTGTGGGGGCGATCGGAGATACCTTGATTATTTGAAATTAATTTAGATGCTTGGATTCAAGTGTGGAAGTTTGAAGATTTAATAGATTTTTTTTTTTTTATCTGCGCTCTACATAAATTTGAGGATGAAAACTGAATACGTGCTGTGTCGTAATAATCTGCCCATTGCCCGGGCATGGGAAAGGGGGAAAATGGAAGAACAAATAAAGCAGATGGAAGTCATAAAAGAGGCCGGTTAAAGTGGAATATAAGTTGGAAAAGGAAAAGGAGGGATTATTTGAGGGAGCGCCAAATTTCCCACTGAACGGTGCTCTGTCTTGGGTTAAATTTATTCAATCTTTAGTTGAACCCAAAATAAAGCCAAAAACTGAGGCGTTGCTACGAAAATGAAGGGGTGGGTGTAGCATTGGTACAAGCAACCGTGGCCTTTTCCCTTTGGGTGGATATTGAGCGGAGCAACTGTCAACTATTTCAGGACAACCTCCGTATCAGCAGTTCCTCTTGAACATGGTTTCATTTCTTCTCAAGCAGGTCAAACTCATTTAATCCAAAAAAAGACATTCATGGTCCAAGCCAGGGAGGCTAATTGGAGACGAAGCTACTTCACTTTCGTGGTGGGATTTATAATGTGTGAAGCAGCCCCCGCACCCACGAGCCGGTCAATGGAATTTTTTTTTGAAAAAAAAAATACATCCATTGGGTTTAGATGACGTGCGTCTCACATGCATGCCCCAATGTATCCTATTATTCATTCTTCCATATTCTGATGACTTTGTTGACATTATTGTTCCGCATTTTTTGTTTGCTTTTCGAGTGTTCTTTTTTCTTTGGTGTGGACGGGGAAAAAATTAATATTACGCATGTTGTCATGAAGGTGTAGTTTTGAGAATGAAGATATCAAATACAATCTGAGTGAACACACGTTTGCGTCTTGACATGAAGTTTGAATAGAGGTGGCAGTGGAGTCGTTGGCAACACGGGAGAGGCAAGTGGGAGTCAAATCGATGGAAAGTACCCCGCAAAGTCGAAAACTATCTCCGCCTCCGCTCGGATCCTACTACTTAATTAATTACAACATGCTGAGCTGTGATCAATCAGTAGTTGTCTCAGCTCAGGTTTCCTTCTTTTCTTTTCATGTTTTTGTTTAACGTGAATGACTGCCAAAAATCCAATGTCGTACGCGGGAATAAATATGTAATCTAATGTATAGGTGTAAAAGCAGTCAGCACAATTGAGCCACTGTACAGCTGAATGAAAGTCCTGTTTCCCCATTCTTCTTGCTTTGCGGCAGTGGGCCCTGCATGGCGCCTCCGCCCCCATCCCTCTCTCCCTTCTATGATTCAAATTCAACTCGACTCACACCCAAAACCCGCCAGATCATCGGGCCGGACTTCTCGCCATCAATAAAGAGGGTGCTCCGGCTCCACCAGGATCGATACACGACATCGCAGTCCGAAGGGACGGGTTTGAATAGTATTGCCCCCCGTGAATGATGATCATTCCAAGATATGCCATCCACTGGGAACGGTTTCATATTCACTTTTTGTGTGATTTTCTTCGTTCTCTTGCCTTTATTTTCTACTTGAAAATAAAAAAAACAAGCATGAAAAGAAGCCAAATATAATAGAACTCCCACCAAAAATAAAATAGGTGTGAAAGCGAGAAAGGTCGCCCACTCATGCTCACGCAGTCTTGTTGACAACCTATTTGTTGTCTTATCTAACCAGACGCCATTTCCCCACACCTAACTCCAACCCCAACGTCTCCAACGCCACACCGCTCTCTTCATTATTGACTTTGCCCAGCTTCAGGTGCCACTCCCATCTCCCACACTCTTCCACTGTAACTTCAATTATCGTCTCTTTTTCCCTCTTATATCTCCTCTGCATGATCTTCCCCACATCCATGATCATAAATCCCTCTCTTCTGATCCCTTTCGTCTTGTTTCTCCTCCCCTTGATCACCGCTCAATCAACCCGCCGCCACTGCCAACAGACATGCCCTCCTCAACACTCCCTCCTCCGCCTCCCTTACGCCTTTGGCTTCTCTTCCGGCTGCGCAATCCGACTCAACTGCACCCCCGACGGCACAATCCTCATCGGGGATTACCCGGTCCACTCCATTAACTCCGACACCATAATCGTCGGCGTCAAGTCCCAATGCAACCGTCCTTTTCATACCTTCCGTCAACTCTTCGGCCACAGATACGCGCCCACATCACGAAACGCCATACTTTTGCAAAATTGCGGCCAAAAGGTCTCCCCCTGCGTCATCCCGGCGACTATGGTGCAGACTCACTTCGAGTCGGAAAACTGCAGCTCCGGAGGTGGCAATTTGAGTTGCTATTACGAAAACTCTACTGTTGATTTTATGAATCTCCAGAATTTAACGAACAAGCGCTGTCAGTACCTTATTTCGTCGATAGCGGCTGAAGAGTTGAGGAACAATTCGTACATCAGTGTGGCGACGGCGGTGTCCTTGGAGGTTGAGACGATTGAGCTGGGATGGTGGCTGGAAGGAGAGTGCCAATGCTCCAACGATGCCAACTGTACGAGACTAAAATCTCCGATTGACAAGAAGGCGGGGTATCGGTGCCGTTGCAAGGAAGGATTCACGGGCGACGGGTATTTGGCCGGAAATGGTTGCCGGAAAGGTCAGTTCTGCTTCATGAAGCTGTTTTTAACTAAACGTGGTATAATCGTTGATTTGACTTTTTAGCGCAATGATCGCCATGATTCCATTAGCTTTGATTTCTAATTAAGTGAACAGTGCGGAGCCCAGTTTATTGACTACGGTGGGGTGCTGCTTTAATCAAATGGCATTCCCCTGACCATGACCACATTTTCTTCAAGTCTACACCATAAAGTCTGGCCACCTTTTTTTTTTTTTTGGGTAAAATTCGGGGCGACACGCCCAATCAAGCGACTCTTTTTTATTGATCCAGGGAACAGAGTCTGGCTGCTTTATTATCATATTCTCTTATACAACATTATTCTGTGCTCTTTTGCGTACATGATGCCCCGGGCTCGTTTTTTTTATTTAAAAAAATTATATACCTGACTGCCGGTGGATTGTTTTATTTAATTTGATTCTTCAAAATGAAATGTTTTAATTTGCTCTCTGTTTTTTTGTTTTCAAGCAAACCTTTTGCTCTTTGTTCGATCAAAATAATTTATCATTCTCATTGGCATAAACGACAGGATAACGCCCCTTATTAAAAACCTTTGCCAGTATTACAAATATGAATTGTTAATTATTGATTCAAGAAATAGAAAGGACAGAGGGATTAAGGGCGGGTAGGAGTGGGACATATGGGTTTCATTCTGACAAGTAGAGCCAGTTCATACGCATCATGAAACAGAGGCGTATGAAACGATCCTCTGTTTCAGGGGTGTAAAAAACAATTTTTTAAGTCTCTTTACGTTAGTCAAAATAAAACTCCTTATATAGGTATTTATCTTAAAATTATAAAATTATTTTTAAAAAGCTAATTCTAACACAAACAGGGTGAGGAAGACACGTGATAATGGCCCTGAAACATGAATGACCCCACAGCTAATCAGTCCAACCTCCGATTAGGGGGATTTTGAATTCAACCTTACTAATCAATTAACCTTCTGGTCAAGACTGCTTCCCATAATTTGGTCCGACAACGTTTCTTTTCCTTTCTCTCTCCCCACCTCTCTTTCATGTTGTTGGGTTGTTCTTTTGGGTACCGTCTAGAGCATCTCAATGTGGGCCAGAATATACCCTGCTTGATATTTTGAGTTGTTCTTGTTTTGAGACATCTCGTGATCCTACCCCGTGATTCATTAACATTGCTAACAGAATGGGGTAGAGAGTCTCATCTCACAACGACAACCTGATAAATCGAAGTTCTAGTTTATCCTCACCTTGTGTCAAATATTGAATTTTTATGGCTTGTGAATTTGAGTCTTGATTGAATTTTGATATTATTGAAGGGGAAAAAAAACTAATGTTGAAATGTATACTAGCTGCAAGTATTCCTTCCTCCTTTTTGCTTCAAAATGCATTCCTTACTAATTGCTTCTGGTAAATCTGCCCATGTAATCGAACAGCCTCTTCATCCTGCAACCCAGCAAAGTACATGTCCGGCCAATGTGGAGGGACAACCCGATTTGTTGTCTTAATTGGAGGTTAGTTTTCCTATTCCATGCGTTGAATATAATAAGTTGACTTACTAGGGATCATATATTATGACTAAGGGGGCCTTCTTCAAAGAAACCAGCCAAAATCCACTAGCTTGAAATTAAATGCAAAATAACCAGTAATGATCGATATCAAGCATATGAAGTCCGCATGGATTCAATTTAGGCATCAAGGAATTATCAAATCAACGGTCGAGACTAGGTTCCGATGCTCTGCAACCTAGCGTTTTATAAGCATGTGTGACTCTGATAACTTCTGGTGCAGGGATGGTCTTTGGAGCTTCACTAATGATCGGTTTTGGTCTAATATGTTGTTTCTTTCGGCGGCGCTCCAAATTAAGAGTCACGAAGAGCACAAAAAGGCGCTTGACCGAAGCTACCAGCAATTCCAGCGTTCCTATTTATACATACAAAGACATCGAGAGAGCCACGAATAACTTCTCAGATAAACAGAGGCTCGGAACTGGGGCATATGGGACTGTTTATGCTGGAAAACTTCACAGTCACGAATGGGTTGCCATTAAAAGGATCAAATACAGAGACACTGACAGTATTGAGAAAGTAATGAACGAGATCAAGCTCATTTCCTCAGTGAGCCATCCCAATCTTGTCCGCTTGTTGGGTTGCTCTCTCGAATATGGAGAACAAATCCTTGTCTACGAGTTCATGCCCAATGGAACGTTAAATCAACATCTGTTAAGGGAGAGAGGGACGGGACTTCCATGGCCGGTTCGACTCACTATTGCTGCTGAAACAGCACAAGCCATAACACATCTCCACTCTGCCATCAATCCCCCCATTTACCACAGAGACATCAAGTCAAGCAACATACTGTTGGACCACAATTTTAGATCAAAAGTTGCAGACTTTGGTCTTTCCAGACCTGGGATGACCGAAATATCTCACATTTCAACTGCCCCACAGGGAACGCCCGGCTATGTTGATCCACAGTACCATCAAGATTTTCACCTTTCCGATAAAAGTGATGTTTATAGCTTTGGGGTTGTTCTTGTTGAGATCATAACGGGATTGAAAGTGGTGGACTTTACTCGTCCCCAGAATGCAGTGAATTTGGCTTCTTTTGCTACAGACAGGATTAGGAAGGGGCTTTTGGATGAGATTATAGATCCATTCCTCCAAGCACATATGGACGATTGGACCCATTTCTCCGTACACAAGGCAGCTGAGCTAGCATTCCGATGCCTTGCATTCCACAGGGACATGAGGCCTTCCATGACAGAAGTTGCTGCTGAGCTAGAGCAGATCAGACTGAGTAGGTGGACAACCTTTGGAGATAGCAATCGTACAGCCTCAACAGAGCTGTCCTCTTCTTCTCCTTCCTCTGATGAAAGTGAGAAGCCTCTAAGTGCGAGAGAAAAGAAGGTGAAACCAGAGGGCAAAGGCCTTCTCAAGTTGCAGACTGAGCCTGCCGCGTTAAACTCAATTGAAAGGCGCAAGAACTGTTCCCCGGTCTCGGTGCAAGACCCGGACTTTTGGCTGAGCGAACAAAGCTCTCATTCAGCAAATAGTTTGGTGAGTAAGTCATTCGAGTGACCTGGCATGTAGGGAAGCGATGCCTTGCTGGGTCCCCGGTAATTCTGGACTTTTAGGATATAGATTCTGATGCGCTGCCTTGTTTAAGCAAGATGATCTTTTATTTAAGTTCACAGCATCCGGCGTGAAAGCTATTCATTTACCAAATATTCAAACGAATATTCCGAAATCATGAATATTCAAATATAATTAAGGGAAGAACTTGCTTGACTTGACCCGCGTGTATAGTAAAATAAAGGAAATTATAATTGGATCTCCTTATAAATTACCGTGTCGAATATTTTTGACCGAGTCAACGAGATGAAGAGGATTAATTTTGAGGAAAACAAAATACGGGATATTTGAACAGAACAAACGTACTGGATTTTTCCTTGTCCAATAGCAATAAGCCGAATGAGATCATGAAGACGACTTGCATTTGCCAGCAGCTGCACAGATGTGATTGGTTATGGGAATATAGTGGCGACATTTGGGAAGAAGGATGCTGGGATTCAAGACGGAACTGGAATCTCAAAGTTTCAGGGCTTCTACTTGCTCAGCGATGGAATCATGAAGGCCAGAATCACAAGTTATTGGACTCAACCTCAATTCACACGAAACGCAAGCGCGCATCCAATGGCGTGCTTTGTTACTGGTAAAACACACGACTACGACTAAAGAAATTAACAATGGAATTTAATCAGCTCAACACGGGAATTGCACCAATTTTTTTCTCGCCTTCAGCTTCAAACGTGGGGTCAAAATGTTGAAAATAGTATACCCTATTCTCAAGGAGTCAAGAGCGACGGTGAGCTTGTGGGTGGACAACTATTTATTTCTTTTGCTCGCCTCTTTTTCTAATAATTTTAATGCGTGAAACGATATTTGGAAAAGGAAACGTGCATACTTAATATTTTAACAAGAGAGGGGAGAGAGAGAGAGGAAAAGATTCCGCCAGACACAGATGAACATGAATGAATTTGGAACCCGATGAATTAACAAGGTAAATACTGAATCATTAACAATAACAATTCTCCGTTTTATGTAAATAAAGGAACAAGACGGCGTTCACTCCCAAAAAAGAAAAGAAAAGAAACGATACAGTAGTGCCGGGTTCGCTGCTATCGCATGGGACGCTGCCAGGCCAGCAGCCATTAGGATGTGATCGAGGAAGATGAGCCATCCTTTTACAACAGTTTCATCGTCATTCATCACTTTATGGAAAGAAAGTGACCCGCATATTCAATCCACTCACTCTCCTCTCCTTTTTGTAATTTCACCTATTTTCCTCTTTAATCGTCATCGCAAACCTTGAACAACCCAAACTCCAACCATTGAGGCTCTATTTTTTTTTTGTTCCAAAAAAAATGCATTCATTTAAATCTATATATTCATAATGAACCATGAATAATACTACTGTTTCTCTCAAACCTGAAATATACATGCGAAAACAACCGGCTTAGTGACATGATACAATTTAGGTCCGAAGGTGGGCAGAGAGGAGTGAGCCCCGGCAGGCTGCGTCTAAAAGGTAGCCCTCTTGAGAGATGTGACGGTTATGGAGGAACCCAAGGGCGACGTTCCCGCTTGGATATCGAATGAATCGTATCGGAGGAACAGCTCCGCCACCAGCAATCTCGACACCAACGTTACAAAATCCTTCCCCGCACATTGTTTGTTTCCCACCGTCGGAGATTCTGTCTCCGGACCATTTGACCACAGCACGTACTTCAGCAATTTCTCACCCTCCCCTACAAACCTATCCCCCACGAACTCTTCTGCTCTATCGAATATCATGGGATCCTTGGTCGCGAATGGCTGATACCCGAATAGTAGCTCCCCTTCTTTCACTTCGAAACTGTTCTCGTGGTTCTCTATCACCAAGTCTCGCTTAGCTCTCCCGTATTGTAGGGCCACCGGGGGCTCTATCCGGAACGCTTCGTACACCACCGACTTCATCAGTGGCATCTGTTCCATCGCTTCCATCGTCACCCGTCCGCCCCTCGATCTCACCGCCGATCGGATCTCCTCTGCTAACTGCGTATGTAGTTTCACCCCTGCTCTGCCGATCCACTTAATTACGTTCGGGAAGAAAAACTTCATTCCTCCAAAGGAATTGAAGCACGTGGCGAACAGGAGGTTGTGGCAGGCTTCTTCCCTCGACAATCCCAGCCGCTCTGCTTCGTCCAGCACGGACCCGGAGGACTCGCAGAAGAAATCGTACAACCTCTGGTAGTCGGCTTTCACCAATAACGGAGGGAGACGGACGCTGTGGAATATAGAGTCTTCGATGAGCTTGGGAAGGCCCAGTTTCAGAATCGGACTGAGTTGAAACAGCACCCATTTCTGAACGAGCTTCGGGCCGTCCGATCCCAGTTTGGTGTCCGCGGGGTTAGACCCGAAGAGAGCGCGAGCCAGAAAGTTAAAGGCGGCCTGATCGTGGGGGTCTCCGAAATTTGCTTTCCCTTTGGCGGCGATCTCATTTTCTAAGGTCTCGAAGAGGGCGGTGTAGCAGGAATGGAACTCGGGGATGACGTGATCGCGGCGAGACTTGAGGAGGAAGAACATGAGGCGCTTGAGCGGGCCGTGATTAGGCTCGGAGGGGTCGAGATAGGAGAGAACTCGGTAGCCACCGGTGAGTTCGGTGGAAGGCATGTAAGTGCCGGTGAAGAGATCTTTCTTGTCGACCTTGGTGACATCAAAGAGGACGGGGAAACTCTTGCCGTCGAGCAAGACGACGACCTGGGGATCAGGAGCAATCAAGGGCCCAGGAGGCATATTGGTGCGGAACACCGTTGACTGATACTTTAGGATGCGTGATTTGAAGTATTCATCGCGACCCTGGTTGTAGAAGTAGTCCAGTCGGTCCTTGTAGGGACCGATGATGGGGATGCCATAGTCACCGGGGATTTTGCGGAGAGGAAGCCTGGGGGCGTCACGAGCAGCGACAGACGGCGGGGGAAGGGAGACGGAGGGTCCCTCCGACACGGAGGCTCGGATGGGACGAAGGAAAAAGGGAGGGGCAGGGGAGGGAATGGGCGATATGGAGGTTGGAGGAGATTGAAGTTGGAGGAAGGGGGAGGAGATGGAAGAGGAAGCCATTAGTGGGGACGGGGGGGACGAGGATTCAACTCAAACAACGGAACCGAGACAGAGATTTGACAGAGAGAGAGAAGGAGATTTGGTAAGGGGAGTGGCTGTGGGGGAAAAAAATAATAGGACGAGGAAGAAAGGACGAACGAGTAACAAATGAACGCGGGAGCGGGGAGGCTACATAATACATTTATGGGGGAAGGCGGGTGACGGGTGACGGGCTGGCGCTGGCGTACTCTCACTCTCATGTGTCGTGGAAATTCGCGCATCATTGTTTTGCCCTCCACCGACCGCCCTGGTCAATTTTTGAATTCAACTCACCTTCTCCCCTTTTCATATTTTACATGCCCTTTTAGTCCCCGATTATCCTATTCTTAAAATATTACTAGGATAATTTATTCTGAAACAGCACGATCCCTGGTGCGAACTCCATTCACTCTGTTGTAACACGATGAATATATTTATATAATTATATTAAAACGATTGAGAATTTACCTGTGCTCGTGAGAAAAAACACATATTGTGTAATGATTATTATTTTTTATAAAATTCATTTCATATTGTCTAAATTTTAATACACCATTTGTTAGATGTTTAATTAAAACCACTAGTAATACTTATGCATTGAAATTTGGAGCAGGACTTGTGCTTGTGGATAAGATAAATTAAATCGGGATAAGTGTGAAGGCAAAAAATGAAACAGCTCCTTTAATATTATATATAAGCTTCAAATAACTAGTTCATTAAAAAAAAAGCTATAAATATAATCTCATTTTCAAATTATGTTCTTATAATAAATGAGAAATAGAATAAAAGAGAATATGTGAGAAAACATTATAAAAGAGAATATAGCAAATGAGAGAAAATAAATAATTAAGATAATGATTAGAAAAAAATGCAGTGACTATTAAGATAAACCGAAATTGAAGCTTATATATAGAATTGGAGGGAGTATTGATTATAGGTTATATTCCTCTTATCCTAGTTATGGATGATAATATTTGATACCAATATACTTGTCTATTATAAGCTGTCATGTAAAGTGTGGGCGAGCAAGCATGTGTGTGATGTTAAGGCATGCATTGCACGTGTGGCCAAAGCCAGCATCCTCGTTTGATAGTATAAGGATTATAAGCAAAGGGGGAGTGGGGTTGATGGGGGGCCAGGCCAGGCCTAGCTAGAATGAGAGAGGTGGAGTTTGTGTGTCCCGATCAAGAGGCAATTGAGAAAAGGGTTGCATTTTATTTGTAAGTATACTGCTCCTCTGATTTGTTCTAATTAATCTGTTCCCAAAAAAAGTTCCTGGACATGAGATATTTATAATGCACAGAGTGGCGCGGTGCCCTGGAGGATAAGGAGAAATATGGCGGTTTGGTGACGTGGTGACATCCAGCGCATCACACGTGAAACTACCAATGAACAGCCTTGTTTTTGGGCGCGGAGGGATTCCACGGTCACTAATATATGTTTCTAGAACAGGGAGGCCCCCTCCCGAGTGCCATAAACAACATAAGCACTATACTCAATTATATCATCGCCAGCTTAGCATGGTGGAACACCCTCCCCCCCCCCCCCCAAAAAAAAAAAACATCTCCTCCCTCTTATTTCTCCATGTCTTCCTTTCCGCCTTTAACCACCCTGCTTTTCAAATCTCATTCTCCGGTTCCCTCCCACACTAGATATCCGTGTTTGCTTTTTATTTTTCATAATATTTTGCTGTCAGCTGTGGAGTATAAGTACACGTTGAGTTAGGGTGTGATTGGATTGGGCCGGATTTGCTATCAATTTGAAGTCTATATCTTGGATTGAGAAAGACAGCCCGATATCTGGTCCAATCTAGTACCTCATTTTAATTTTATTTTTATTTTTTTCCTCAATGGAAGGTAAGATTTCAACTTCTTATATAAAATTTTTCACATGTTTTGATCCAAACCTTATCAAATTTGATAATTCCCTTTCAATTTCTTAATAATATCATGTTTCATTTGTTAATAATCCTAATCGATATAGATCTTATATATATTAAAGAAAATACATACACATGCTCGTCATTTAAGAAGTTAATAAATAAATTTTAATTATTTGAATTGACAAAAAAATTATATGAAAGAATTAAAACAAATTAAAACAATATAAATAATAATTAAAAATAAAAAAGCTTGAGTTAGACTGGACTGAACTAACTGGTCTGAGAAGCTAGTTCCAAGTATAATCTAACTTGATCAGACCAGTTCGGTCTAGTCTAATTTAATCTTGTTTCGGGTGAATTTTTTTCAGACCAAACTTACTCAGATTGCACCGAGCCATACCAAATCAACGGTATTTTTCAGAGCCCTTTGCATAGCATTGCTTTCTTTGTATTTCTATAGTCCTAGTTTCTCCTGACAAAAAGCTGTGACGGGACTCCAACTCCTAGGCTGAATATTGGCCTGCTTAATTATTGTGTCTGAAACAGATTATTAAATTGTACTACTTATTATTTTTTCTGATTTTATTTATAAGTTTTAAATTTAAAAATAATAAGTTTTAATTTGAGTTTGTCTCAATAATTAATATTTTTTTAAATTTTATTCTTACTAATTATTTATCGCCTCTCCTTTGCGACACATTATCTCATTACATTTTCTTATATATATATATATTTTTCATTTTTTCTCATTTACTATAACGTTATATTTGGAAACAAATTACTTATCCGGTTCTTAATTTAAGACCTACTTAGAAAACTGATCTTAGTCCTAAATATATGACCTATTCTCATATTTACTAATTCTTTTCTAATTACCCCTTATTAAATAATTAGATACCGCAATAATACTTATCACTTATTAATAATAAACCTATATATTTTATAAAGTGAGTGAGTACTTATTACTCATTAATTCCACACATACATTAATTCTATCATTTTATATTTTTAATAAAATAATTTAAAATATTTTTTGAAATGTCAATTTTTTGAATAAGTTTTAACTGAGGGTATCTTGGGAAACATATGTCATATTTATGATTACTACCTGACTTAACTAATCTGTTTAGTTTAATTAATGTAGTTAAATAAGCCTTATATTAAAGACCGGAGGAGTATGTTTGTTACCTATTTATTACTTTTAATTAATTTAACTAATTATTAGTTATACAAAAATTAAATTTGTTATTTGAAGCTAATAAGGAGAGGTTATAATATTAAAACATTAGCCTCTCAATCATTCAAAGTACGTATCAAAATGTTGAAAAAATTAATGCGCGGTGAAGCAGATTAAAATAACAAATACGTAATGATATAATAATCGCTTGAAAGGGAAACGATTAACAAAGGAATAGTACTCTCCCTCTCATTCTTATTATATGGCATTTTTAATTAATTCTCACGTATTAAAAAATAACAGTTAAATCATTAAATTTTTTCTGAATTAATACATTTTGTCAACTTTAATTTGCCCCTATTGAAATGGCATAATTCAGTTTTTTCAGCTTTGGGTCTCAATTAATATGAAGGGTGAAAATGACAAAAAAGTAATTAATGAAATTGTTGATGGTGATTTATACCCTGGGACCTAAACTCGTCTGAAGAAGATATCTAATAATAAGAATAATAGAAAGCACATAATAAGAATATTATTGAGATGTGCATCCGGAATTATTGAACATCAACGGGACAGAATAAACAACGGTGTAGCTAAAAGACATCTAACCGTGTGAATATTCGTACTAAATAGTACCGTTGGCAAAACACGAACATAATGAACAATACTCCTCCCATTATAGAGTTGATGACAGTTCTACATGCAACACTTATTTTATAAGTTTATCAATTTTTTAAAATTAACTTTATTGATATTCTCTCAACAATAATCATGTGGGAGAGGGAGGAAAAAACTTAAAAAATATGCTTATGGTACTTTAAGAAAAATATTTCATATTAATTAATTTAATTAACATATTTAATTTAGTCAAATTAGTTACTTTTTTCTTTTTGGCAAGAAAACACAAACTATTTAATTGGATTGTATTGCTGTAATACATTCGGGGGGAAATTTTAAATCCTTTCATGTGTTTTGAAATACAATGGTGGTAATAAAAATAAATGGAAAATAATAAATGCATCATAAATAATAGGAGTATTATGAAATGTTGAAAATAATAAATTGTTGACAATGCAATTAATCTGTTTGTAAAAGCATTCTCGACTTTTTAAATGGTAGTAGGATAATGAATATTGCAGAGTAGATATTAAGTAATAAATACCCGACAAATGTGTATTCTGAAAAGAAAATGAGGTAGAAGGATACAAGAATATAATTAGAAAAATAAATATAAAAATTATCTAGAGATAAAACTGGTATTTGATTTAGAGCCTGTTTGGCTCAGCGTTTCAGGGCCAATAACTTACCTTTTTGTCAATTGTAAGTACGTTTGAAGAATTTACGGTGTTTGGATTGGTGGTAAAGTAATATGACTTTTATATAAAAAGTTACAATAAGTTATAAGTAAAAATTAACTGCTTATACCTTATGACTTATAACTTATAGCTTTTGAAACATGAAGAGAAAAAAGTTAAGAAATTTACTACCTCATTTGATTCTTATTATAAATTTCAAATAACTAATTGTAGATAATAAAAAATTAGTTAAAATTAGTTGAAAGTAATAAATAAGTTAGAAATATACTTTTATTTTCAAACATGCCATTATAATAAATGATAAAAAATAAAAATATATATGATATCAATGGGAGCTTATAAATAATTTAAAATTATTATATTATGTAAATTGATATTTTTTATTTTTTCATTATTTAATAAAAATCATATTCATTTTGGTAATTTTGCAAACTAAAATTACTTATTCAATCGCAATTCAAACAACTTATTTTCACAAACTAACTTATTTATCAAAGTCAATCCAAACATAAATCACATTACGTGATCTAATTTTTATCCAACCTTTTTTTAAAAAAAAAAATCAGATTGTAAATAAGTTATTTTTTTTTTTTTAGTATCAATTCAGACGGACTTTAACTGCCGCATCCATCCAATGCTCAGAATCGGAGCAGTGGCAAAAAATCAAGTCGCAGCTTCCATGGGAAGGAAAGGAGATGGAGCCGACCATTTAATTGCCATAAAAGGAAAAGCTCGTGAATAATGCTTCCAGCGTGACGCTGCTGCTCTTCTACTAGTGTTGGGTCAAAGCTCGTCCTGTTGTTAAAACGGCTGATTCAATTCAAGGGCCTTCGCTGCTGACTTTGACCAAAATGCTCCGTTTTATATGCGCCCAATTCAAACCCACCCGCCCGTCATCACCAAACGTGGCTCTCGTGCTGCTCCTGTTAACAACTCGTGCGTCTAATGCCATGAAGCTTCTTCGTTGCGGGTCTAACTTGCCTCGCCTATCATCATGTTTCATTCTTCAACTGTTGTTTAGCGGTACACTATTTTTGAATTCTAAGTATCTCTGATTGATCTAATTGTTGAGTTGGTTTTGATCTTAGGGGTGTTGGCAAAACAAAACCAAGGTTTCAGAATCACTTTTCCGCAAAACGAGATAACCTCCTCCACATATTTACTTCATAATCCGTAAAAGCACTTCTGAAACCATGGTTTGGTTTCTATCTAAACACCCCCTAAAGGGGTGTTGGGTATCATCCTAAACCATGGTTTGAAAAAAATTTACCCAAACACCCATAAAAATGAATAACCATGGTTTTGATCCAAAAACCATGGTTTTGTGAGAAGCATTTTGCATATGCTTCTGGAAAAAAAATGGGAGAGTGTCAACTGGTTTCAGGGAGAAGGATTTTGACCAGACATATATACCCTTCAGTCCTTCACTGTTCAGAGATACTCCTCCGGTCCTTAATATATGACCCAATTGGTGAGTTGGTTTTGGTCCTAAATATAAGACCCATTTCTCATATTTATCAATTTTCTTTAAATTACCCTATAGATACTCCTTCAACTATAACAAGTAGAGAGAGGAATATGAGGTATTAAGAAAGATGATTATGGTATTTTAGGAAAAATGTGTCACATTTTTTATAATTAACTAACTTACCAACTTCCTTAATCTAATCAAATTAGTTAATTGGTCTTATATTAAGGACCGAGGAGTAGTATTGTCTTCGGTCTTCATCGAGGTAGTATATTGTTTTTTTTGGACCAAAAAAGAGGTAGTATGTTGTTATTTATTGTTTTTTCAGCTTTTTTTTTACCAGAAAATATTTAAAGCAAATTAATATTTTCTGTTAGAAAAAAATAATAATTTTATAAACATATTAATCTTATAATTTATAATATATATACACATATTAATTATTTATTAATATATATCTTATATATATTAATTGTGTTAGTAAAAATTATTTTTAACATTTTATTCCTTCAAATTAAAATATATTATAAAATCTATTCCTCATATAATTATCATATTAATTATGCCCTTTTTAATAATTTACACATGTAAAAAGTGTTTATGGTAATAACTATCCAAACACTCTCACTTCTCAGAATCATTTTTTACAAAATCTATTTTTCTCAAAATCTATTCTCCAGAAGCTATCTCCCAAACTATGGTTTGATTTTATCCAAACACCCCCTAAATATAAAATTCATTTCTTATATTTATCAATTTTCTCTAAATTACCTCTACGAATATTCCATCAACCATAATCAAGTAGAAAAGAAAGAAGAGGTATTAAGAAAGATGATTGTGGTATTTTAGAAAAAAAACGTGTCACATTTCGTATAATTAACTAACCTGCCTAACTTTCTTAATCTAATCAAATTAGTTAAATAAGTCTTATATTAATGATTGGAAGAGTATTTCAATTTAATGCTTTCCATTTAATAGAAACATTATTAAAAATTGAAATGAAATAGCATATGTTTAGAAGCAAAAGAAAGGTTCAAATTCAAATTAAAAGTAAATAAGAGTGAAGAGGAAGTATGTTGCAGGAATGGCAGTGAACTCATAGTTTGCTGGAATAGCAGTGAACATGGCTAACGTTTACTGTGAGTAATTTATGAACAGAGGGAAAAGTAGATAAGTGGGTCCGCCAAAGTGAACCCAGGATTTTGTTCCAAGGGTCGCTGATGAATATAGATATAAGACTGTGATCCTGGAGGTGGTGCGACTCCGTTGCTCCGAAAGAAGAAGAAAATGGAACTGGATTCTCACGGCTCCCCCGCTTTCACTAACCATTGCGTAAAGCGGTCACCGTTCATCCTTCGTGCCCCATCAAATCAATTCATGCTGTCAAGGCCCTTATGTTCTAGTGGCGTCTCCTACAAGTGGGAAGTCGTGGCTTCCATCCCGTTTGTGGCAAAAGCTCATTAATACCTATTCCTTTATACAAAAGGAAAAAAAAAAACCATCAATCACTGGGTGCCGGGCATCTATTGGGCGAGCTGATTTGCACCTTGTCTTCCTCTCCTCTTGGGCCCAGCGAATTCATTTTCAAAAAGCATGCGGGAATATTCTCTGCCTCATGGCGTCTGGTAATGGGCCAATTCATGGGCTTTAAGCCCTATTTTTTGCTCCTAGTCGCTAGCGCCAAAAACATCACGACCCCCCCATCATCATTAATCGAAATTAAGTAATATATAACTAAACAAAATGTTAATATATGAGATATAGAAAAAAGAGTATGAGTCATTTTTATTTTTAAAATAATTATTTTAATGGATATAAACAATCTATTAGCTGTCACTTTTTTTAAAAATATTTTTTAGTAACATAACTAATTAAAGATTGAATCTGGACGGTGCTTTGCGCTCACATTAAAACCGGTTCCGTTAATATCTATCCATTATGAATTGTGAACCACGTTTTTTTTTTCCTGAGTAATCAGACTAGTTACATCTGATTCATGGGGGAACAAATTCCTCTTCCTATAAAAACTGCAAGGGAAAAATTATGTGCGATGCAACTTTGCCTGGCCACAACGGGCACATACAAGTTTAATTCTTTACGATAATAAATTAAAAATATCATAAACAATACACTGTAAATAAGAATGACTCTTCTCTCTGGGATAAACGCAAATAAAAATGACTTTTAGAATGGAAAAATCGGACTTGGCTAGTTTTTATAAAAAGCTGGATTCACTCCCACTGAAGGCAACTAAACTCGACACAAGCACAAACTATTAGGAGCCGAATATAGAAATTTCAGAATAAATTTTACTTAATATTCATATATAGGTACTCCTCCGGTCCTTAATATAAGACCCATTTGACTAATTGATTAGATTAAGGAAGTTATAGGAGTGATTTAGAGAAAATTGATAAATATGAAAAAATGGGTCTTTTTTAGGACCAAAACCAACTCAACAATTGGGTCTATATTATTAAGAACCGGAGGAGTAATATATAATAAATATGTTTATTGGATTTGGACGTTCGCACAAAACGTATTGAGCATTCAACACTGGGAACCAAAATGCGAATTGGAAAGCTCAGAAGCAAAAAATTAAGTGAGGCAAGAAAGAAAAGGAAGAAACAAGAGGAGAAGAATGAGGCAGGTCAGAGGCCAGAATTGAACTTGGAAACGAAGAAGCCGAGGAGGTTCATGGCTGGACGGAAACAAAAGGAACGGTTGAGTTTCTTTTTTTTTTTTTTTGGTTGGGGGGAGAGGGCGAGTGAGGACAAGTACATAAAAACCACAAGTTTTTTTTTTTTTGGGGTGGGACCTGAGGCAGGAGAGAAGATTTGTCTCAACTCTCATGTAAGTGCAGCGAACGATCCATATTCAAGAGGGTGTCAGAGTCGTGGAAGTTCAGGCATGGACAGCGAGGCCGCCAACGTCTGAAAAAACAAAACGCAAATATGTGAAACTGTATGATTCATCGATTGGGTCCGTGTTTAAAAGTAAAAGTCAGTAAACACGGTCGAGACTTGGCGACTATTGGCGTTCATAAAGGGGCACAGCACAGCAAGAGTCCACAAGGGCCAAGGCTCAGAATCTTGCTTCCGGCCATAACACGCACAGCACTCTCCTCCTTCCTTTGCTCCTTCCAATGGCACTCTCTAGAGTGCTTGGCACGCCGGCTCCGCCCATCCACCTTGCTTCTTTTCTTCTTCTTCTAATGCTTCATTCACCACAAGTCGCATATCCCCAAGCCACAAGGCCACCACTCTCAAGGCATCCCTGCCTGCGGCTTCCCGGCATTCAATCACGTCCCAGCCTCAACCTCTACTTCCGCCATCCGCATTCTCGGCTTTCACTACCACTTTGCTACCAAAATTTGGGCATCTTCTCAGCTCTCTTCTGTCTCCTCTCAAAACTCCCCCTTCCAATGTACGGCCCCAGATGCTCATCCAAAAGGTATGTCTCCCTATAATAAGCCATAGATATACGCACTTTAATCTCTACTAATCATCACCCACAGTTTCCGATCCTGATCTGTAGCGCCAACACCTGCAGGCCATCATTGATTGCCGATTTTTAACATTATTTGCCGTGTTAGGATCTCTACTTGCTTCCGCGTTATGCTTCATTGAGGTGATTGATTACGCCGTGTTTCTTTTCTAAGTTTTTTTACCGGCCTGTCTTGTCATTTTCACTTCCATCCACCAAATATATAATATATGCGCGCATGCATGCAATGTTTCACCTGTTCCTATACCACCCAAATGCAGGGTTTTTCACTCGTTATACAGACGTACGCACAGTATTTTCACATCTGGTCGAACAGGTTGGATCAAGGCCATGTTGCCAAACTACTCATCGAAGCCATAGGTAGATCTGTGTTCCCTCTTCTTCTTCCACTCGCACACCCTTAAAACAGAACCTGACATCCCTTTTGTTTTCTATAATTTGGGGCAGATATGTTCCTGGTAGGAACGGGCATGCTCATTTTTGGGGTGGGTTTGTACGTCATGTTTGTTGGATCCAAGACTGAAGAACAGCCGTGGGACTTTCAGGTCAGTGCAGCAATTAACATGCATTTTTCTTTTTATCAATTCAATCTTCGAATCCATTTGCCATTTCGGCTGTAAGAAGCTATATTGCGTAAGTTTTTAAAACTGACCTGAACGACTGATAGCGGTTTCTCGTTTCAGTCAGCGCCAAGATGGGTGGGAATAGAATCTATTGGACAGGCAAAGTCAAGAATAGGGCATGCGTGTTGATGCTGATTCTTCAGGTGGGAGTATTGGAGAAGTTGAAGGACGTCCCTTTGGTGACGGGGTTCGATCTTGCCTGCTTCGCCGCAGCAATATTGACATCTTCAGCTTGCATTTTTCTGCTCTCCAGACTCCATCGATAATCACGTCTGTGTCTTGTTTGAAGGGAAGGGAGGGTGTGGCCTTGTTATAGTTCATACTTTTTATTCATCTTATATAAATTAATCTGCACTTTGATTTAATCTGTATTATTTGTTAAAATTCATTCTCATACCAACATATTAATATCTGTACAAGAGCAAAATAGTAAAATTTTTATTTGTTTTTTATGTTTTTTTTTAATTAATTTTTCTTCTGAAATAAGTGAGGAGTTTATTTTTATTCTTTCTCATAAGCATTAATAAAATATTACAAAATAAATATGAGAACAAAATAATTAAAATTTTTTGGCTTCCATTCCCTTCAGAATTTTCAACCAAATGAGGGGAGGAAAAGCAACAAAACTGGTCTCTGGAGTCAAGTAATTTTTAACTTCGGATTGGGGTGTCAAATACTACCTTCGATCCTAATTATAAGAGCTAACTGACTAATTTGAGGAGATTAATGAAAGAAGTTAAGTTAGTTATTTGTAATAAATAGGTATTATCTTTTTTAAAATATCCTTGCTAATCAAGTGTATTAGCTAGAACTACTATTGTTAAAAAGACTACATTGGGAAAAATGCATAAATATAAGAGACAAAATGGATTGGGGTCTTATATTTAGAACTAAAATAAAAGTCAAATAAGATCTTATATTAAGGACCGGAGGTAGTATTAAAGGGAGTTCTACTAAAAAAATAGTTCGATCAGATGGGACTAGCTTTTTTTTTTTTTTAACATAAAAATTTAGGTGAGTTAATTTAAGAATTTTTAATTATAAAAACGTGACTATTGCATTACCATGGCACGCCCAAAAAAAAAAAAAATCTCAGAAACAGAATGAGCTGTCGTTAATCGTCGGAAACAGAATAAACGGTCGTTATTTTTTGCGGGTGTAATTCTCTGTGATCCATCCTGTACGAGTGTACGTTTAGCTTAATCGAAGCCAAAATTAGGGAAACGTTTTCATAAAATTAAAACTTCACAATAAATGCACTTAGTAGAATAGAATATGAATCAAATTACATAGGGCGATTCAAAAAGAATGACCATATATATCAAGCAAAACAAAGGAACATAATGCATCAAAGCGAAACTTTTTAAATGCTAATTAAGATGTCTCTGATCTCTGCCACAGATGGTATATTCTCCGAAGGGTATGTCTTGGAGACGAGCTGGACAAAACTTTCATACTTATCGAGAAACTCCTTCTGTCATATTATTGATTTTGGGAAAAATCCACAATCAGATAGCATCGTTATTATTCACTGCTTTTGCCAAGCAGCAGCACAGATTGTTTTTCTTTACAGTTATCTTTAGTGCTTGTGCACTGTGCTTTTATCAGAGTTACTCCTTCAACTATAGTATATCAACTTGCCACGTAGTTCTTCCCCCCTCCCCCCCCCAAAAAAAATCGCTTTCTTTGATTTTGTTAAATAGGAGGCATCTGATTGGCCAAGTGAGCTCAAACAGCATACATACCTTGCATTTTTCCCACAAGGAAGGTAACAGTTCCTCTGAAGTCAAGTTCTTCTGTAATTTCTTGTACATCGCACCAAAAGACCTATCAACCTAAGACACATGATAGCCAAGATAAGTTTAACACTTACTAGAAGAAATATTCTGAATAAATATGCATGCATCAGCATCACCCTACCCCAGATAAACTGGCTTTTAGCATCTTCCTCATATCCGCTTTTGACAACCCGAGCTGGTAAGGAATCTGAAATTGATGCAGAACCAACAAACATTTGTCGAATGTTCGAAATTTTAAGTGTGAAATGAACGATTATATCTGTTCATCTCACGAACGCAGGAAAAACAAAGTTCCAAGACATTCTCAAGTAGAGGCAATTTGTCGAGCTCGTGCAACAGCATGTACGCTTTTCTTAAAAGATTAGAAGTGTCCGAAAGCCGTGACTCAAGTGATTCTCTTGATATCGAATTAAGTTATAACACACTTACCTCTTCAGGTGGGATAGTGAACATCAAGTCCTCAATCCTTTTAGCAAACTGGAAAAGACGTTCAAATTGCTTCCCAAGGAAAAGGAAAGATAATCAGTCAAGTTCAACACATTATGCTTGTTCAAAGGATACGGATATAAGAGCCAGGGTATATATTACATAGTAAATAACCATGCTGATATGGCGTGTGCAGGCTTGTTCATAGGATTCACTGGCCTGATGGTAAAACTTTGCCAAAGTGGGAACGACATTAGCCAGGTCATACAAGCTGAGCCAAATTAACAAAATAGCGAGTTAAAGAGCGAAAGTGTCTTTCTCTAGAATATCAGCTTAACACCGCACAGGAACCTGCCTATTTTGAAATGCTGCATAGTTCTCCAGAAGAAAAATATCTTCGTACTTTGGATCTGTTTGTGCAATTTTTTCTAAAGTCACAAACATTATGGTGACCTGTCAAGCAACCATCCAACCAGCAAACAACAATATAGCAAAAGCAGTTACAATTTGTTGAAAATTAATAAGGTAAATAAAAAGTCTAAAGGTTGTTGAAAAGATCAGAAAGTATAATTACCATCTTTAGTTACTTGAGCACATTAAATTACAATTCATGCACTAATGCATATCTAAAAAGAAGAACTTTCGCTGTGAACTTCTTTGTAACATACGAAACCATTATTGAATGCAACTCTAAAAATTGAAAAATCCTACTCTTTATCTGAAAGCCAATTGTTTGGAAGAAAGAACTACGTAGAATGTTTCAAAATACTATCTCTGGTTTTTAACATAAAAGTTAGTTTGACATTCAATTTGGTTTTAAATAAAAGACCCTTATTACTTTATCTTTCATATTTATCTATTTTTTCTAAGGTAGTAGTTTTGTAGTAGTTGTATATGTTAAATGTTCTAGCTAATACATATGATTAAAGGGCATTTTAGAGAAGACAACGCTTATTTATTACAAGTAAATAACTTAATTAATTTTTTTAATTTACTCAAATCGGTCAATTAGCTTTTATATTAAGGACTGGAGTAGTAAATTATAAGTAATTCTGAAAAATTGATATATTAGAAAACATGCAAGTTTATGATGAAAAGTACTCACAAATTTCATATATGCTTGGTCAACCAAATCCCTTGACTGTCCTTGGATGTATTGCTCCATCCGCGTTGCGAGGGTTGCAAATCTGTGAAGAAGTGGGTAAGAAAATAATTGAAGCGTCCGGAAAAAAAAGGCTTGAGATAAGAATAATATGATGAATAAACCGAGAACTATGCTTCACAGAAGGGTGGGTGTTCAGAAGAAACTGATGATGGTGTTTATTGAAGAGCTTACAAGATGGTGCTAATTAAAGCGCTGAAGAGGGAACCTATACCTGTACTATCTTTATCAAAATAACCAGACATTTCTTTAAAAGGAAGGATAAAGGGGAAGAAGTCCAGAGTGAGGATCCATTTAACCTGGGAATGTAAGCCAAGACTCCCATTTGGCGCACATTGCGCTCATGTCTTTCAATCTGATGGCAAGCTTCATCTACAAACTACAATATGATTTTGAATTAAAACAAATGGTTTAGCAACCTTGTCTTCAGAATGTATTTGGCAGAAGGAAATTCTTGGAAGTGTTAATCACATACGCGGATGAACTGCATGGATATCCGGGACTCTAGGTCACCCAGCACAAGGCTAACGAATCCTGCTGCATCAAGCCGCCTTGACACTAGGGTTACTTCATTCGGGAAGCTAGCGTTCATAGTCTCATCCTTTAACTTAGGTTGTCAGCACACCACAGGGTATCATTCCCAGTGCTAGTGTGGGAATTGCTTGAGACATCCTCACAGAGCTTTATCATTTCTTCTCAAAAATATCAGTAGCTCGAAAACACATATTGAAAGCAATACAGAGAAATTTCTACACATACCTGGATTCCATCTAGCAAATCCTGAAGGAACTCATTTAGAGATGCCAGCTCCGCAGGATTAACACCTATAAAATTAAGCCAATTGTGAAATTCTGGATAACTTGATAGTGCCAGAAGAAGGTTGTTATTGGAAAGCAGAATAACAAGCACCGGATTTGCTATCGTTCTCGTCAATGTTCATAATCCCCAAATCATCATCGTTTGCTTCAGCATCATCGTCATCATATTCATTTTCATCACCATCAATAGTGCCTCCTGGAGGAGCCACTGTGGGAACTTCGAAACACATGAAGTGAGCAAAAAAAGAGCTCTGCAATTTAAGCCATGAAGAGTTTCATTTTTTTTAATTTAATAAATTTAAGTAACGTCAAACGTTAATAAACATGAAAGAATTTCACCTCATCCACCAGAAGTGGGACAAAAACAGTGAGCGTCTTTGCATAGGCCTCAGAAACTGAAGAAGTATCAGCAGTGTTTGCATTCTGACCAGCTGCGGAACCTTCAAGCCAAACAGTTGGATTTTTAGGTGCTTTAGTACTAGTGCGAAGTTCATTTGCAAACTCACGGGCCTGCAGAAGGAGGCAAGAAACTTAAGACACTTTCTCAAGGCAACAACATAAAAGTGACCTCAGTTCTTATTGAGATAGAGTAATTCATAGAAATTACTCCAACGCCAGAAGATTAAGGAACAAATAACACTAATGTGGGGTATCAATAGCTTGTAATCTCATACCTCCCTTCTGAGAAGCACGTTGAGAGAACTGCAATAAGCTTTCCGCAATGTGCCCAAGCAATTTTTATCAAGATTCTGCAAGTGAAAATAAGAATAGTTTGGGGATAAACCAGAAAACGAAGCATCAGTTATAAGTGCGGAAAAAAAAAAATTTCAGAAATAAATTGTCAAGTTTTCCATAATTTAACCTTTAAATGTTGCAAAAGGCGTGCATACGTCCTGCATTTGTACCGTAATTCAGCATGGTCAGGCCTCTTCAACTGTCCTTTCTGTTTAGAGCAAGCACACAAAATGATGCTTTGAATTCCTAGGCTTTTTGAGGTTTATAATTCTTTTAAGAACCTGAACAGAAAATACCTGGGAAAAGTAACTTTTATCATTAATCATGAAATCCACCAAACTGGCAAAATAATTTGTTAAGAATTCAGAAGCTCTCCTGGCAAAAGTAGCTTTTAATTTTTCAAGTTCTGCATGCCTGTCTTTAACCTGTATGGATTGCCGGAACCGAAGTTTAAACAAGTAACTTTCTGTAAACCAGGAGGGGGGGGGGGGGAGAGAGAATCCTTTGTGGCTCAAAACATATAAGCAGTATTGAGTATTGGCAACAAACACAAGTACTCTGTTTGCATTGTGAGCTCAAATTCACAATATAACTCTCATACAGAGCCTTTCCTACCAATCAAAACAGTCAAAAGTAATGGGTATAATTAATAACTGTCACATTAAATAATCAAATTATAACGATGTTTTTCTAACAAACAACAACAAACTTTCCATGTTCGGCGCAAAAAACAAGGTTTTACATGTCGAAGTCCTGCCCACTTCCCTTTAACCTGTAGGACAAACAGGAACCATTGCTAAAGCAAATAACTTTCGGTTCCTATATGCAGCATTGCGCACAAAGACAACTGTATTCGCTTTACGAACTCAAATTCACAGTAAAAATCTCAGATATTACCTATCCAACCGACTAAATTTCTTTTAATGCTTTTCTAGCTAGAAAAAATAAGTTGCCATGTGACATGAATAGGCTACCAGATGGCTTTCAAAAGTCAAAAAAGCAAGTCAGAAAACATACAGCTCTCATATTTGCAAAAGCAGGATCTATAACTTGGACATTATGCAGGGCACCGGCCAACCATTCACATGCTTCGACACTCCGAAGCACACGTGCCTCATCAAATGAACCTCCTGTCAGACAAGCTGCAAGCTGAACCCAATGAAATATTGAAATAAATACTAAGCTTAAGTATATTTGTCAAATTCTAACTAGCATTTAATTCACCCAATGCAGGTATACCTCAGAAGGGACATGCAACCGCTCAAGAAGCTTATCAACTTCCTCAATAAGAGCTTTGTTGTTTACTGACTGCATTTCCAACTTGTTATTGCGTGTTTCTATCTGTACAATAGAAAATTAGGAAATTTTATGAGAATTATATTGCCTATAGCACTTGGAGAAGTAACATATAGAAGTCTCAATTTAACTGGAAAGGAACTCCTGTAGCACAAGATTGGCCACCTATTAGGTTTGCAGTCATTATCTGATTTTTCAAAGGTAAAAACACCTATGCCTACACCAACACATTTTTCTTCAGCTTTTAATTATCATTTATAACCACATTTCTCTTGGGTGTAAATGAAAAAACTGAATCTTTTAATGGTAGTGGTAATGTGTGGCCTATTAATATACTAAAAATATATCACACCAGGATCATTTATGTCATTGCCCTTTTCAGTTAATACCATAACGGGAAGAAAAGTATATAAGGGTTGAACCAAGGCAAGAGCAATGATAACAATCTACTGGCCGAAAAAGAAACATAGTAATATGACTTATGGATGACAAGTTGCATATTTGCTTAACATCTGCCATACTTTGAAAAAATAAAATGATTGATAATTACCTACTGTTTATCAACAAGTTATTATAACAATTCTGTGTCCTTAAAAATAAGAAATTTAGAAAAGATAAAAGCTTCTAGATACACTATCTCCGTTTTATTTTTAAGCAAGCTAAAGGAATTGGAAAGTAGAAAGGTTTCTCCTAACACTTCTGCATTATAGGAGAGTAAAATGACAACAAAGAGTGAAGATCATTTGGTCCATCATTGTCTTTCAATCGTTTCTGTTTATTTATTATTTCCTCTCTCGTTGTTTAATATTTTTAAAATTGTCCTTTGCATTGGCATTTATTTTCAAAACTCTATTCTCTTCCAACATATATATTGGATAAATTGCTTTATATTATCATTTCTATAAAATCGCCAACAAATCTGAATATTTTTCAACAAGAAACTAGTTAAGAATTTCATATAACGTTGACCAATGTGTCAAATCAAATAAAGTTCTATTAATGAAATATTACTGTTCTGTTTCATGTTGCACGTGCATAGCATAAATCATGCACTTTGGCACATCATTAATTTTACTAGTTATAGTACAATTTATTTTCTTTTTCTCTAGTACATAGAATATAATCGTATTTTATAAAAAATTATTTAAAGTTTCTACTCCTGTACTAAAAAAATCTACCTCCACCCTTGTTTTAGAGTGTGCACAAGGACTAGCGTTATTCTCCATGATTGGAGGAGGCATTTCTATAACACCACTAATCAAACCGTGCTAAGAAAATCATTCTCCAAACATGAAATGTAAAAGTCCCTACTGATTCAATATCCTCCCTCATGTGCCTTAGCTTCACATTGAAAATGCACAACCATTCATCCATGTCTTCGGCACAATGTGCTGCCGCTTCAAGCCCCTGCAACACCTGGAAGGGAAAAAGTATTTCAACCTCCTAATATGAAACAAACTAGAATTGAGGAAAAAAATTTGGAGAAGGAAGCAGGTTATAATGGGGGAAGAAAGTGACAATGATGAGATAAAATCAAAGCTTAGAATCTCAATGCGAGTTAGAAGTTTCACAGCTTCAAGCAACAGGTTAAAGTATATAAAGAGGTTGATCTTATGCAATACTCCGAATATATGTCGTTCAAATAATTATTACGTGAAATAAACAGTGCAAATGCTTACTTCTATCCTTCTAAACAGTAACAGGTAGAAATGGGGATGAATACATGAGTCAGGGGGCTGGACAGATGGATGTCCTTAAACTTAAGAACAGTTGTACCTCGTCTATCAGAGGTTCACTTTCCAAGATGGCATGTACATTTGCTGCTTCCAGAGCCTGGAGCTCCCTCTTCAGCCTTTCAGAAAACGCCTCTGCTTCACCAATACCCATGACATAACTGCTCATTCAGATATTGACATGGCACGACAAACAAAATCAGTGGGAAGTTTAATATGCGGTTTCCATGGTACAATATCTACAAGGGAGGAGAGAAATATGTATGTCATGCAACACTCAAATGAACCCTCCACAATCCCCCCCCCCCCAAAAGAAAAAAAGTCCTAACAATTGTGTAAAATAGAAATCATCACTGAAACTGCATTCAAACTCACAATCATCTTATTAATTTGATCTCTGATTTTAAGAATGCCATTAAAGATTAAGAGGATTAGCACCTACGTTCCGAGAAGAGCCTCCATGTCCTCTTCTTCTGCCTGGGAAACAAGTTCATTCTCTACATTGACTTTCAGTTCTGTTTCAGTCACAGCAGATTCAACAGGACCACCATCTTCTGGGCTTGCATGAGTAGCAACTGCTGGTGTGTTCTCCTGTTTCACATTTGTTTTTAAGAAAAGGTAAACAGAAAAAAAAAAATTAATGGTCTACAATGGTCATTGTTGTTGTAAGATAACTTCAATATACTAGCAGATACATCAATTAAAATTTAAAATTTCCCTAAAATTTGGGCTCAGTGACTGCAAATGAGACAAGCCACTGTTAGTGCACCAAGCAAGACAAGTAAACAGGAGTGTATCAGTAAAGAATGATTTTCACTTGTATGTAACCATATAAAACCATCATTCTCACCTTAGCCCAGAGAGCCATCTCCACGACATCTATACCAATAACTTTGGGAAGGCGACCGAGTACATCTTTGCATATATTTAAGATTTGCATTAGGATGCGATTCCTACAAGAAAAGTAATGGATATGATAAGAATTTTTTTGTCCAAACACAAAATCTTACTACAAAATTTTTTATTTTTGAGATTATACTTTTCTCTCAATGATAAACCTGTCATCAACATTGCGCATTGTCCATTGAGGAGGAGCCACAGTATGGTTTCTAATGTTATCGAATCCCTATAAGATGCAAATTCATCATCCAAATAAACACATGACATAGAAAGAATTTAAAAAAAAAAGAAAAAAAAAACTTCAGAACAGGATAAGATTGCTTCTCATTTCACTTCAGTGCTGCAATTGAGAACACTGTCCATAGAACACAGATAGAAGATCTCCTTTGCTGTACAATTGCTGTGCAAATCATAGAATGAAAGAATAGGCCATTACCAGGGTAAACGTACATCCACTGGGGTCAGCTGATATAAGTTCCATTTTTGACAGGTGCTTCAACTTGTATAACTTTGCAGGCTACAACCACAAAAAAAATTTAGATAGAAAGCATGATAGGATCTTCGACCAAGTCTTCTGTACTTCAGTACTGCCAAGCCTAGAGAAATTTAGTTTCATTTTATCTGTTCCTCACATTAAGAAAGGAAAGTGCACACTTTCCAACTTTGTTGATCATTATAAATCGAGAAGGGGAGGGGAGAGGTGTGTGGCATGTCTATACTAATGTTTCAAACCCTCTGGCCTTCAGCGACGTATGTCTAGATTGAACATGCGAATTCCCCATAACAAAAGAAAAGCCAACAAGAAGCAACAAAAAAACAAATGAAAATACAGCTCAATGGGTTTCTCTTCCTGCTCTGTTTTGCATGCCAGGAAACCCCATAAAATACACCCATCAACTGAAACCTACGCAGGGTGAAAAAAAGCCCATGCCAGTGACAAGTGGGTAGAAGAAAGTTACCTCAAGAACTCCTCCATTGGAGTACTTTAAGACTCGAAGAAAAGCTTTTGTCCTCTGACCTTTCACTTTGACTGCATGAAATAGGAAGATGTCACCAACAATACTTCAAAGGAAAAATTTAAGAGCCATTACAGAAATAGCAAGAATTATGAAGAGTAGTTGGCAGAAGAAGGGAAGTTAAATCATCATCTGATCCGGGCGTAATATATACTAAAGCGTATAATATTGTTAGGTGGGTTCAAACTATCCAAGTTTACTGGGGTATTACTCTAGAATGTAGCAGTGCACCCAATTACTATGTATTAAAATGGGAAGAATTATTCATGCATGAATAATAACTGTCAAAACTTAAAATTCCCATTTGAGGTGCTCAACTTGGGCTAACGAGAAAGAAATGGGAAAAAGTAAACAACGTCAGCAATAACAAATATTGCAGGACGCAGAGCAAGTAAACTTTTCTGGACACCCATTCCAGTCTACTTCGTTCATGTTTCATACATTTACGAAAGCCAGTTGGTTGAAGCACCATGTTCAGCTCAAAGGATTGTAAATACAATCCACGAACGTGAATTTAGACAGACAGACCAAGAAAATGCAGAAGTGAAAATTGCGTACTGCAGAGAGCGAGAACCCTGGGCTTGGCCATTGCTTGACGCCCCCCTAGCATGCCGGATTTTCCCCAAATTCCGCGACTCTTGGCAACACGTATCGACATAACTACCTTCTGTTTAGTGCCATCAATCGCAGCCTGGCAAGCTCGACGGAGTTCAGCATCGTCTGCACTCGATTTCGCCATTTTCTCTGATCTCAAAGCCTTAGGATGTGAACTTTGGGGGAGAATTACGCACAAGGTAAGAGATATGTGGGCGTCTTTGGAGTAAGCATGCAACAAAAACGGTCAAGGTTGGATCTTTGTTCGTGTTCTTCAGATGTTCGCTTACCGTTGGCGAGATTGTTTTTCGGAAAAATTATAATAAAAGATTTATATGCAAGTTAATCCTTAAAGAGTTAATTTTACGGTTTTAAACATAAGGTAAAAATCTATTTTATCTTTTATATTTATTTATTTATTTAAACTAATTTTTATAGTAGTTCGACATGTTAAATGTTTTATCAAATTATAGTTATAACTAAATATATGATTTTTTTGGTCTGAATATACACATGATTAATAAAGATATTTTAGAAAAATAACACAAATTTATTATAAATAATCAACTTAACTAATTTTTTTAATCTATTCAAATTAGTCAATTAACTATTATATTAAATTTCAGGATGGTATTTATTATAAACAACCATACAATCAAATAAGGTTATGATAGCTAACTGTTTGCCGGCCTTAGGGCGGAAAAAGAGCTGCGATCTTCATCCATATTCAAAAAAATTAGTTGAATTTTGTAATCATAAATGTTCTATTAAATTAATTTCATATACTCCCAACCATCCATCCCGAAAAGGAAAAGCAATCACCAGTTACGGACTAATAAAAACATTGAAGCTTTTATTTCTCATTAAAGCATTTAAATCTAGATAAATAATAATAATATATTATATAATTGAGAATATGAAATAAATTAATGTATAAAATATAATAAAAATTTATATTGATATAATAATGTTAAATTTTACATTAAATATTAATATAATCATTGACACTAATTTTGTAAAAAAATCGATGTGTTATAATTAAAATATAAAAAGATTAATTAAATTGAAACTGAAAATAAAATTTTCGAAAAGGAGACGGCCGTTGGCTTTGGGAGTGGCCGGGGAGACTGGAGAGTGCAAGTTGGCGGGAAGGAAATCACCCCTACACCCTCCCCTAAATATGACATGGGCCAGCTACTATTATTGGGCTGCCTGTATTGGGCCTTTCCAAGTTGGGCCGATCTGTAGCTATTGACTACTGAGCACACCAGAGACCAGACCCGAACTTTCAAATTTGACAAAATTTAAAAACAAATACATTGCAGCCTTAAATTACCATTCAAAATCTAAAACATGACACTTTCGATTCTGCAGACGAGAAATTGCACCATATCAAAGTAATGCGTTTCCTATGACTAAACATATTTCATCCCCCCCCTTTTTCCAACAACTAAACGTATTTCATCTAACCCTTATTATAAGCACTTTCTCCATTATAAAAACTTTCTATATCTTTCATAATATAGGATACTCCACCAGTCCTTAATATAAGGCCTATTTAACTATTTTGATTAGATTAAGAAAGTTAGGTAAATTAGTTAATTATAAAAAATATGACATATTTTTCCTAAAATACTATAATAATCTTTTTAAATATCTTCTGGGGGTGTTCATACTGCCTGCATGCCCGCTTGAGCCCGGGAAAAAAAAGCCCGGCCCAGCTCGAAAAATGTAGCCCAAACAAAAAAAGAGCACTTTTGGGCAGGGCTCAACACGAGCAGGGCCGGGCAGTGGGCAGGGTACCCTGCCCTGCTCGTTTGGCCCTGCCTGGAAGTTTTTATTTTATTTTATTTTATTTTATTTTCACTTTCACTCTCCAGTCTGGCAGTCTCCATCAGTCCGCCCTTCATCACTTCATCAGAAATTTAGAACCCTACCCAATGCGGCAACGCTGTTACTCCCCCCACTTTCAGTTCTGAGTCGCTCCCCTGCCTGTCAGTCTCGATCGCTCTCTTGGTCACTCCCCTACCACTTTGTCTCAGTCACTCCCTCCCAGTGCAGTCTCTCACCTCCTCGTGCTGTGACTGCTTACTGCTGTCTCTCTGATTTGAAGACTGAAGCTCGCCGAATACTCCAGCTCAACGAGTCGTTGCTCGCCTGGATCTTGCTTCTCGCCGAGTAGTCTCTCGGTATAGACCATTATAGACCATTTCTTCCTCCTTTTTCACTATCTAGAGAAATATTATGCTCTACAAACCTCACCTTGTCGGTCTCGGTCACTCCCAGTCTCCCACCTCACCTTGCTATCTCTCCGATATGAAGCTCGTAGAGTAGTCTCTCGGTATCTCTTGGTTGCTGTCTCTTCAATCTCAAGCTCGCCGAATACTCCAGCTCAACACCTCAACCACCATCACGTCTCTCGGTCACTCGTTGCTCCACAGCTTCAATCTCCACTCGGTGAGTTGCGACAGCACGGATTCATTTCTCCAGTCTCCACGCATGTCTCTGTATCATATGATTGTATTTGATTCTGCTTTGATTCAGTCACCTGATTGTGCCATTTGATTCTGCTTGGATTATTTCTGTTTCACAATTCATATAATGCTGTTTCTATGGAGGTGCATGAGATATTTAGATTCAACATCTAATGCTGTGTTTTGTAATTGTATCTACAAGCTCAGGCCTGCCGTGTCTATTCGAAAAAAAATTCATCTAATGCCATGTTCGTTTTAGTTTGCAAGAATTTGAGATAACAGAGAAATGGTTCTGCTTCAGTGCTTCTACCGTGAAATGAGTGGCAGAGTTGGAATAGCAGAGTCATCTGTAATTATTGCCATGTTCGTTTTAGTTTCCAAGCATTGCTCACTTTTCTTTTTTTAATAATTCGTTTTAGTATTTGGAATAGCAGAATCATTTTAAATGAATCAATTAAATCAAATGGTATATCGTGAGTTGTACTTTATATCAGTATTATTGTATCAATTCAAATTTCTTGCCATGATTCATTTCTCACTATTTCTTCAGTCTCCACTTGTGTTTGTATATTTTTTTTATTGTTTCCTTTGTAATATATTAAACTTTGTTATTTTATTTGTATTTTTTCAGGTGTTCCATCCGTTTTGGAAATTATGGAGATTGATGCAAAGTACAAACTGTTCAATTTTCTAGGCTCCAATTACAATATTGAATCTTGCTTTGAATGGATTATTAATGTTATTCAATTGGATATTCTTTAAGGCTTATTTTAGACTATTTCTGAATGATTTTGGTGTGTTAAAATGTAGAATTATGTAATGTGATTTTTAGATATAGATGGAGTTGTTTTTTTTTTTTTTTTTTTTATGATTTGAGCAGGGCATCAGTTTTTGGGCGATGAAGCCTAGCCCTGCCCAAAATGGTTAGGGCTTCTACGGGCAAGGCTGGGCACCGGGCTGCATTTTGCGGCCCGCACATAGTTTGGGTTGGGCATCGGGCAGGGGTTTAACCCTGCCCAGCCTGCCCTACGTGCAACCCTAATATCTTTCCTCATTCTTCTATTTGATCATGGTTGAGGGAGTATCCATATGGGTAATTTTAAAAAAAATAATAAATATGAGAAATAGATCTTATATTTAGAACCAAAACTAACTCAACAATGATGTCTTATATTAAAGACTAGAGTGAGTACTAGGAACATTAACTTTTTTTAATACAGTACCTTGAACTTTTTTTGATACCAACAAAATTTGAATGAGGTTGATTTTTGAATTGAAAAGTGACATCAATACAGAACCAACAAATTAAAACAGAAACACGTAAACTCACATCATCCTCCTTCTCTTAAAAAAATTGATTTTAATTAAGTTCATTACAAAAGTATAATACATGCTTATAAAAAAGGAAAAACTGTAATAAGTATCACGTAATTTTTAATGGTTACTTTTAAACAATATGGAACATTTCATATTATGCAGAAGAGAAACAGGATTACCGATTCCAGGAAAAACTTGTGATTGACACATCGGGCATACTTATCCAAGTATTCATTAACAAGTTATCAAATACCAACTGACATTCATATTTACAGTTATTGGAGATATTCAGAAATTCGCACCTCTCCGCTGATACCTGCTCGTACTAAGAGTTAAAGAAGAAATTCAATAGCTAACGCCAGGAATCAATACACATGCAAAAGGAATGAAGATTACAGAGATATCACAAAAAACCTGCGAGACAGCATGGCGGTCCAGGAAAAACTTGTGATTGACACATCGGGCATACTTATCCAAGTATATCATTAACAAGTTATCAAAATACCAACTTGACATTCATATTATACAGTTATTGGAGATATTCAGAAATTTCGCACCTCTCCGCTGATAACCTGCTGCGTACTAAGAGTTAAAGAAGAAATTCAATAGCTAACGCCAGGAATCAATACACATGCAAAAGGAATGAAGATTACAGAGATATCACAAAAAACCTGCGAGACAGCATGGCGGGTGGGGTAAGCGAGAAAAATAACAAGCTAATGCTGTATTTACCAAATCATTGGTACACACACGAATAGAGGGGTAATAAATTAATAGGATTTCCGCATCCCAACTCCCAAGCACTTTGGAATGCTTCAGTTGTTCTCTACTCCATTCTGTTGAGATTCTCCATCCGGCCAACCCTGTCTCATCCCGCTTCTAAAAAGATGCCTACACGGGAAAACCAATTGATACTTTCAAATACAATCAAACTCCAGAACATGGGAGACAAACTATACATGTAATCTTCAGACCTTAACGTTTTGAAAACTGGGGAGCTTTACGAGCTTTCTTCAGACCAGCTTTCTTCCTCTCGACCACTCTTGAATCTCTGGTCAAAAGCCCTTCTTGTCTCAGAGGCGATCTATGGTCTTCTCACTCACCTTTAGTAAGGCCCGAGCAATACCAAGGGAGATTGCTTGAGCCTGACCAGAGAGGCCACCGCCCTCAGCTTTGACAAATACATCGTAACTATTTTCATATCCCAAAGTTATTAACGGGACCCTAATGTACTGAAGCCACAATGGATTTCCCTGAAGATATTCCTGAGCAAAGAAAAGTCAACAAATCACATGAGAACACCTAAAGAGAAACATACAGATTTGACAAGCAGATGACTGCGGTGAATATAAACCCCAATAGACAGTTCAAGGAGTAATAGAATCTCCTTGCCAGGTCACAATATCTGCATCGCTTTCTGACTCCAACCTCAAAACATTTTTATCTTCGTGCTCAAGAAAGGTAATACGAGAAGTTTTACCATGTGATTACAAGGTTTAGTCTCCTAGTTAGTGATAACCCTTCGTTGACAAATTTAGTCCGCGCAAATTTCATCTAGAATACAAACTATATGATAATCAATAGTTTTTTATTCATCCCGCCGCCATCTCTATATCTCAAATCTCCATCATAACAGAGGGACGAAAAGCCCTCTGGTAGAGATCTGTGACCTACTACATCTATGCGTTAAGGTATACTGAAGCCAGCCACTTCTGTTTTGTTAGTATCAGTGACTTCAAAGAAAGTAAGAGCTGTAGCTACAATGCAAAGGTGTCTGGCGAGTACTATAAAGCTATTCTTTACTTACACAACACACAACCGAAGATTCAGAAAACATACTATGTCAAACTTTACTTACAAACAACAACCGAATTCAGAAAACATACTATGTCAAAACATCCAACGAAATCTTGTCATCTTGGTCTTAGGCTCTGGTACTTAAAAAAAACCCAGGGGATCTCAGGCTGAACAGATAAAAATAATTGAAAACACATAAACATAGGAAATTGCTATTTTGTAAAAGATTGAAAACAGTGGTTTAAAACAATAGAATGCAGAAGCTGCCCCTCAATTAGAAAACCCTGGACGAAACTTATCTCAATATTAAAACCGTCAACATGTGGCGGACCGGGGGGGGGGATTAAATGTACATATTGCATAAATAACGACCGGTGCCTATGATTGTTTGAGCAGCGAACCCCCAGGAAGTCTCGATTTTACGTATTTCTTCAGGTCATCCGTTTCCAGTTCCGCCGGAGAGGCGACCGCGGCGGATGCAACCAGCGAGGGGATCCGGGACACGTGGGAGATTGAGATGGAGTGGGTTCTTCCAAAAGAGAGGCTGTGCGGTCTCTGGGAAATATGGGAGGAGAACGCGAGAGATGAGAAGGAAGCTGTAAGGGAAGAAATGGAAAGTGCCATTATGTTGAACTACCTCACTGCTCTAACGCAAACTCTTGCAATCGAAGCTCAGGCGGATAAAGAAGAAGGAGCCAGCGGAAGGGGATAACGAATTTTTCGCCCTTTTTACATTTCTTGGCCCCCGGCACAACAATATTCTTTATTATAGCAGTAGGGGGAAAAAAAATAATATCCTCATATTTTATCTTATCTTTAATTCAGCCCTATCGTTTAAAGTTTTTCAATTGACTCCTTATAGTTTGAAAACGGGTCAAGGTTAGAAAACGGGTCAAGGTTAAGGCTGAGCAATGAACAGGTTGAGCTAACTAGAATGTTAGCCTATAACCTGCCAATTTATGAATAAATGGGTATGGGTTAACCCATATCCCGGTACTAGCCCATTTAGCCTGTATTAAATGGGTTACAGGGTAGTCTGTTTGGGTCCTAGTTATGGGTAACCCTTCTTTTTTTTTTTCAATTTTTTTTAGTATAGCTACTTTGTATATGTAACCTTATGAAGTTGTCAATAAATTTTGCATACCAAATGGCAAATCAAATATGAAATAACATCACATAACATTAACCATATTCAATCACACAACCTCACTTAGAGTCACAAACAATCAAAGTCTGATAAAATCATAAAAGTAGTCAATCATAAAAAGTCTCATAAACTTTGAAAGTTCCAACTTTCACCTAAAGGATAAAATAAAAGTTTAGACAAGTATGAAGGTTTGATAAAAGATGAATAAGAAACAATATCATCAATTAAATAAAGAATAAAAATATTTTTTAAAAATTAAAACTTAAACGGGCAGGTATGGGCAACCCAATACCTTGCCCATAGCCCAACTCGTTTAATGGGTTACTTTGCTCATTTAAACTCGCTTGTTTATAATCTCTTATTTGGATTAATTAGACAGGTTTAAACAGGCAAAAATTTTATAGGCCACGGGCGGACTAGCGGGTAATGGGTTTGTTGCTCACCCTAGTCAAAGTGCTCCCTCTACGCTTCAAAACCTCAAATATCGCGAAAAGTTTGCCCAGGATTTTCCAATGGAGGGGCTTGGCACTATTAGGGAAAATAATGCTCCTGTGTAGTATTGTGGCCCACTATGCTTTCTACTCCCTAAATAACAATTAAAGGGTTTAATGATCGTTTATAGAAATAAGTATAAAGAAAAGAAAATTCTATGCTAACCATTACCATTTGATTAAAACTGATCAAACCTGTAACAGTAGCAACGGATCCTCAAGAATTTTTTTTTTTAATGGTGTTAGGCCAGTTGTGCACCTCTAAAGAATTGTCTAACAATATATAAAATCATACGGACTAAATTGAAAATGAATTATTTCAATAAAAATATGAAATTTTGAGAGAATGAAAATAATTGATAAAGGGACAAAAGAAGGTACTTCCAACAATCACCGATGACGCACAAAAGTGAACTTCGACGGTGAAGGGAACGGACCAACCTATTTTGGCCTCGTTGGATTATCGTTGAAAAAAACTAAAGTGTATGAAAAAAATGTAAAACTGAGGTTTGGCTTATTTGAATAAAATTAGTTGTTTGGATGGATTTCTTTTATAACTGACTTATAAAAAAAAATAACTTTTCCAACTGACTTATGAAAACACAATCCGGATCAACTTTTCTAACTGACTATTAAAAAAATTATACAAAACTTACAATCTAATTAGTTATGTGATTTCATTTACTTTAATTAGAAACCAAATGAATTTTATTTATTTCATGTTTGTCATTATGTATATTTAATTAATTATCTATAATGTATTTTCAAATTTTTCTCTGTAACAATATTTTTATTTTATATTTCACAAATAAACTATTTATATTTTATCAGAATATTTTACATTTTTTTAAACTATTATCACATTAAAAACAAAAAATTTCAAACATTACCATTCAATAAAGTCTATGTTTTTTTTCAGTCATTTGACAACTAAACTAACTTTTCTATTAATCATCCAAACAACTTTTAACATTTTTAACTGATTTTTTATAAGTACCTATCCAAACAAATCGCATTACATTAACTGACTTTTATTCTAACTTCAGTTACAAAAGTCAATTAGACCAGAAGTTAGTTTTGCCCAACATCAATCCAAACACACCCGAATTATATTAGTTTTGCCCAACATCAATCCAAACACACCCGAATTATATGCAAAGCCTATCATCCAACGACCGTTAGTTTACTCTCAACTCTCAAGCCAACCCCCGACAAACCACTTAACCAGCCTCCTCCATATATATGCTTTATTGCTATTCATTATGGTTTCCTTGCCAAAATACTTACTTAAGATTTTATATTTTATATTTATTATATCAAGTATTTTAATTACAAATAACCAGGTATCTTAATTTTTTTCAATTTGAGTTTATAGGTTAGTTAAAGAACTTGATGAAATGAATATATGTAACTTAAGTATGATCCTTTTCTTTTACTTTGTAGATGCAATCAAAACTTTACTTTTTATAACTACAAATTCAACAAAAATTTGATGGATGAACTTAGAAAGGCCCTTTGAGTGGCAACCAGTATGGCCAAGGCATGTTCACAGTTAAGACAACTCTTTGTAAACTGTAAATTGTAGTGAATGATCTGTCAAGCAAGGCATAAAAAGGGTAGGCAAGACAGTCAATAAATTCATCCTTTAAATGAACTGATCTTTATTGAAGATGGATTAAACATCGTACATTGCTAGACAAATTCAACAATTGTTTAAGCTTAAAAAAATATAAAAACAGAACTCCTACCTCTCCATTATTCCCCAGACCTGTCTGAACCAAATTACCATCTCTATTCTTAAACATAAGATTTAGTTTATAATATAATTTATATTAAAAATTAGCTAAAACCGGAAGCAGTACATTCTAGGAGTCGAACTTCTCCTTACACTTCAAATTAGCTCTTATGTTTAAAACCGGAAGTAGTACATCCGAAGAGATTCTAGGATTGAATTTAAACTTCTCCTAAGATTGCTGTGCTTCTCAGAGCAATAAATTAATGACACTCTCAAAATCGAGTTCAAAATCACACAGAATTTACTAGCTAAAAAGGAGATATGAATAACACTCACTTCTCTTCTCCAGTTGGTTATTAAAGTGATAACTACAAGGATTATAGTCTGCAGAACTATGCCTCCTATCATTCCCGACCAAATACCCTGAATCCAAAGATTGTACATATCAAGAGTAAGAATTAGACAAGACTCTCATAATACTTACCATATATTGCAAAATTAGATTAAAATTACTGCTTACAGAACGTCTTCCTTGTGTCATGGTACTTATCCTAAGCATATCAAGTACTTAAAATAGTATCTCACCTCAGCTCTGAAATGGAATACAAATCCCAAGACTATTCCTGCAGGTAATCCAACAAGGTAATAGCATCCAATATTGATGTATGCCACCATAGCTTGCCAGCCAGCTCCAACAGCAACGCCTAACAAGTAAGAATAGAAGCATGAGTGAGTAAACTATCATCATTAAATTCAATGCTAATAATAACATAAGTGAGTTCCATCTTTTTCGGTGCAAACCAGATAACACAGGTTGAAGACTGTTAAGAAGTACTGTGACCGCAAGTAAGCTAGCAAGCTTAGTTGTTTCCTTGGCAACTGCAACACTGCTTGTAAAGAGGTAAGGAAAGTAATCCCTCGTAGCAAGCACAACTGCCATGGCAACAACTCCTATGGACACGGATGTGATGGAGACCACAAGCACTGCAAATTTGGCAGCTTGGAAATTACCAGCTCCAAGTTCATTTGAAACTCTCACACTGTTGTTGAACAAATCAATTATAGGTTATCTAAAATAGCCAAACTTGTATAGTTGCTGAGATCACTTGTTTACAAGACATTTACAATGTCATAATCACATGAAACCGGGAACAAACAAATTTCATTATGAAGCATCTGATATGAACTTATGAAGTGATTAGATAGTGAGTTGTACTGAGAAAAGGAACAGGCAGACAAAAGATCACCTTATTGCAGCATTGAACCCAATCGCAATCATAGCATCCCAACCATTTAAATTCATGCTGCAGTCATGATGAGACAAAGCTGTCAGTGATCACATCTGAGCAGAGCAATGATTTGATAATTTTGGTTTCTAGTTTCAAACACGACAGAATATGAAATAAAAGTTATTCCAAGCACAGCAACATGATGGAGGAGGAGCGTACGCAATTAATTACCAGATAGATATGGCATCAACAGGTATCAGAGGGTTTTTCAAACGCCCAGTTATAACCACTAGTATCATCAAGTACCAAAACTCCAAGCTGCCATCCAATTTACAGAACCTCCTTAGTCATCATAATCCCAAGAAATTGAAAACAAATGGGAGATGGGAGTATGAAGTGAAGGAGAAATACCATAGCATAACAGCTGAAGCCAAAGAAAGTTTGACAAAGCCAAACAAGTCTGCAAAAGCTAGCCAGGAGAATCCACTCCAAGCACCGTCAGATGTGGTGATGAAAATATACAACAGTTGGCCAATGACAATGAGCCACCAAGATAAGTTAAGAACAATTGCTGCTCCGGTTAGGCCCCATCCCGCTTTCAACATGAGAAACCAACTAAAAAATGCGTGTAGCACCAAAACAACCGCCGATATCCATGCCATCACAAACACTTTCCTCTGTGCCTGTAAGAATTTTTGGATTGGAAAATTCATAGCATAGGCATACAGCTGCGGGAGCATCCACAGAGCAAACTTGCCTGCACCAACAAAGTACAGGACATAAAAAAAAAAAAAAAATCCGATGATACTTAAAACAGCCGTCAGAATACATATGATGATCTTATTTTTCTAATTAAAAAATAGTTCCTTACTAGTTAGTGATGTGATTCATATCTTTCTAATTAAAAAATTGTTTCCTGCTAGCTAGTCATGTGATTCGTATCTTTCTAAAACAGAACAAAATATTAACTTCTTCTGTCACATTCCATCATATTCTTTCAAAATCCTTCTCGTTGTTACTCCTAAACAATATAATAAATCACATTCATTCGAACTTGGAGTTTTTATGAGTAACTGAACTGAAACGAATAAAACTGACCAGCAGCTTCGGAGATCTCCGTAGTCTCTCCAAAGAGCTCCAATATGGGGGGTGACCAAACATAAATAGGCACCAATAACGTGGCTGTGGACAACAGGATCACCCACGATCTTTGCATGTATACCCCCAACATTCTGTACTGCCCCGCCCCGAATGCTTGTCCACACAGCGTCTCCAATGCGCTCCCCATACCCAACTGTTCTCCCCCATTTAATAAAAAAAAAAAAATGTTAGAGCTGTTGAAAGACGAGACGAGATATCTTGCATGCAACTCAAACTTCTAGCTCCGAGGAGTTCATGAAAATTGAGAATTATGGAAATACTAATTCGTTGAGCTTAATCAGAATCAGTTCCTTCCCACGAGCAATTAAAAGACAAAGGTAAAAATAAGTGAAAGGGAAGGAGTTTGTGGAAAGATATAGCTACCATGACGCCAAAGGCAAAACCAGCGATGACGGAGTTTTCCACGGCAACGGCGGCGAGATCGAGCTCGGTAAGTTGACCGGCAAATGTCTGGGTGAGAGCACCAAGGGAGTACTGACACAAAGCGGTGAAGATTGCGGGGCCAGCCAGTTGCCACAGCTTCCTCGACTCGAATGCGAATCCCCTGAAAAAACTTGCTGGCTTTGCCTCCTGAATATCATCAGTACCACCGTCGCCCTGCAGGAGTGGGGTGTCGACGGCCATGGCTATGTATGTTCTGCTGCAGGACGCACACTTGCTTTTCAAGGACCACTTCTACTTCGAAATGGCCTTAAACATTAGAGAAATTAAAGGATGTTGATAGCATCCACTTATTTATGTGTTTAGCCGAAAAAGGGGGAGTGGAAAGGTGGGTCATGGCCGCATTTGAAAGGTGGGTTTGCAAGACTGAAATACGAATGGGGAGTAGCCTCGTCTCCGCTGACTCGGAGACCAACCGTTGGAACAAGGTAGAAGACAGCGACGCAACCCAGGCGGCTTTTTTACGGATATACGATAAACAGTAAAATTATATATCAAAATACTGTGCTTTTAAAACTATTTATCAATATGCTGCATTTAAAATCGTTATTGGTAAAAACGATTTTAAAATTACACACAAGTCGTTCTTAGAGTGAACGATTTCAGAAATCGTTCACGCTAAGAACGATTTTACTTTTTCCTGTTCACTCTCTCACATATGAATCTCTGCTAATTTTACATGTAAAAATAAGAATCTTTGACAATGCTCTCATGAGACTACAACGTCTATATTGGATTAAAATTTGAAAATCCCAATTTTTTTAATTTTTTAAATAAAGCTTGATGAAATTTTCTGTCATTTCCTTTCCTTTTTATTTTTCTCATACCAAACAATATGTAACAAAAGAAAATTATACTTTGATTGTAAATTTTTAATTGTAGCAATTAAGTTGGAGGACTAAATTACTATTATTATTATTTTGGTCACAGGTATAAAAGGTTCATGCCCAATACTTGATTTTTCGTCAAACCGAACAAATTCCACACAACTGGCTTTTTTACCAAAATACTGCAAAGAGTAAAATTATATACTAATATGTTGCACTTTTAAAAGTATTTACTAATATGCTACACTTAAAATCGTTATTCATGTGAATAATTTTTAAAGTCATTTATCGACTGAACAACTTCTTCATTTAATAAATATTTACACGAAGAACGATTTCTGAAATCGTTCATGCCAAGAATGACTTGTGTGTAATTTGAAAGTCGTTCTTACCAAGAACGATTTTAAATGCAGATAAATGTCACACAAGCTTTCATGCACATTAAGGATGGATTATGAAGAAATCGTTCAGCAGATAAATGACTTTAAAAATTATTCACCTGAAGAACGATTTTAAGTGTAGCATATTAGTAAATACTTTTAAAAGTACAGCATATTAGTATATAATTTTACTTTTTATAGTATTTTGGTAAAAAATCTTGTCGCATGGCATTTGTTTGGTTTAATGAGAAATCAAGTATTGGGCATGGACCTTTTATGCTTGTGACCAAAATAATAATAATAATAATTTAGTCCTGCAACTTAATTGTTACAATTAAAAATTTACAATTAAAGCATTTTTTTTTACGTATTGTTTGGTATGAGAAAAATAAAAAGAATTGGAAATGACAAAAAATCTCATCAAGCTCTATTTAAAAAATTAAAAAAAATTAGGATTTTCAAATTTTAATCTAATATAGACGTTGTAGCCTTATGAGAGTATTGTCAAAGATTCTTATTTTTGCATGTAAAATTGGTAGAGATTCGTATGTGAGAGAGTAAACGGGAAAAAGTAAAATCATTCTTGATGTGAACGATTTCTGAAATCGTTTACGCCAAGAACGACTTGTGTGTAATTTTAAAACCGTTCTTGCCAAGAACAATTTTAAATGCAGTATATTAGTAAATAGTTTTAAAAATACAACATTTTAGTATATAATTTTATTGTTTATCGTATATTGGTTAAAAAGCCTAACCCAGGCCTCCCCTCGCGGGATGAGGTAAAAGCCAAAAAGTAAATACCAGTCGGCTTAATAATGGTAGTATCATTGCTGGGAAGGATATTCTGTTTCCGGGTCTTTGACCTGCGGCTGCAAAAGCAGAGAGCCAAGACGAAGCTCTTTTTGGGCCAACTGCTCAACGACAGCTAGAATTTCTCACGTACAACAAAATGACATCTCGTTATCTAAAATATTCTCTTCGATTTTTATTATAAATTACTTTTATCACGTCATTTGAAATAAAAAAAACTCAACTCTTTATTTTTATGCAGCAATAAATTTTTATTTTACAATTTTATTTTTGTACAAGAGTATCATATTTAGAATAAGTTAAATGACGTGTCAAGTGACTAAGGAACCGAAGGGAGCATTAATGTTTCATACGTGCCCCGTAAATTCTGGGAGGAATTTTCTTTCCTTTGTGTATTGGCGAAGAACCTGAGTTCATTAAGTTAGATGAGACCCAAACTACATGCAATTCATTTTTTTTGCATTTTAGGAAAATGATAATTTCTTTTTCCAAATATATAAAATGCCAACTAATTAACAATAAAATCTATTCATATCTAATATATATAAGAAATTATCATCCCACTTTAAATATTGACATCTTATTACTCAACCAAAGTTTAGCCTATTTACACTAAACACACTGAATATTTTTATTTTAGGAACAATTTTATATTCTCTAGTAATCACTATTGACTGATCCCAATTTAAGATGAATCAAGCCCTTAAGAAAGGTAAATCCTCATTGCTAGCTTTTTGGGGTTGAAGCCTAGCTTTAACTAAACGCCAAACCAAAAATGCATTGAAATTGAAATTTTAATCACGGTTAAAAGGCGCCCAATAAACAACCCGGGCGAATAAAAGGTAGCCATACTTGGCACAGTAGTCAACGAAGATAAGTGTCAGGATCCACAGGATATTCACCACGCCGCTCACAAGCCTGCTGCCCGGCCAAATACAGAGAGATTTATGTACACATAAAATCTAGCATCAAGGATCCAAGTATATAATTTCAGCTCGTTCAGATGCTCTCCTGAACCGCAACAATTCTTTCATTAACTCTGATTCGCCATTTGAAGAAGCAGGTTTCACAGTCATCCGTTCTAGCACGGGAGAATATAAAAGCAGAAAGCTGATAAAATCTAGCTCGGGTTTGATGCCAGAGATACCGTCTATCCTAACAAATTGCAGTTGCATCACCGGGCAATTCCAATAGTCATCCTCCCAACAGTAGGCCTGTGTTCCCAGAGTAGTCTGCTGCTCCTCAGTGCGAGCCTATATGTAGTCCAAGCATTAAAATCACTAAAATTCCAGCCCAAAACTTAAGAAACGAGGAAATAAAAAACTCGAAGATGAGTATTTTGCCAAATTAAGCAACTTAATGAATGATGTAACCTAATATGCAACTTCATATCAGTGAACAGGACCAAATGACACTAAATCATAATTCGTAGAAAAAACTCACCAACACTTCCAGTTCCTGAAGATTCGGAGAACTCCTTAAAAGGCACAAGGCAGCTGAAATTTCCTTGGAATCGTTGAAATTGATGCGTATGGAAAGATAAGTTAAATCTACGCATGGTCTAGGGAGCTTTAGCGGCACAACTCCTACTGCCAAATACTGGAGGAAAAAAGACGAGCGATAGTAGAATGGAAATCATTATGATACACACAAATTATAAATTACATGCGCAGGATGTGTTCTCGAACGTGTCATCTCAGAGAGACAAGTATTACTACACTTAGGAAACCGCAGACATAAATCATGATGTGGTAAATAATTGTTGGTAGAAGAGTGAGGGGGGGGGGGTAGAGACACAGAAGAAAATAGAACAGACGATAACAGAGAGGAACAGAGAAAGGCAGCAAAGCAAAGAACTTAAATTCCTCAATTGTTCAGCCTTCCTACAAATGACTTCTCCATACCCTTTTATAGATTAATGCCAACAGCATCTACCCGTGTAACTACCCCAAATAACACCCTAACTAGTGCTCACTTATTTATTACCGTCATATAACATGATGATGTCAAATCTAGTGGGTTAAAATATAATTTTGACAATCTAGTTTTTCACTCAATGTTCAATTCTCAAGAATAACAACCTTTTTCTACTTTGTGCTAGGTGTTAAAAGAATCATACCTTTAAAAAATAGCTTTGAACCTCCAACCTTCTAACATGAGGTAGATGAACAAAGAACTTGAGCAAATTACTAGAACTTCCTTGCCATCTATTTTTCTCATTTTCAAGGTTCAAATACAAACCAATGGATACAACAGCTAAATGGAAGGTGTTCTCAAATCTAACATCCTCAAATTTGCCTCCAATGTCAAAAAACTGAAGATTCGGCGCATCAATGTTGAGATGAGTGAAGCCATCGAAGTTCATCAATGTTAGACGTTCAAGTAGCAGGCAGTTAGATACCATGTTTTCAAACACATCCTGATCCATCGTAACATGCTGTAAATCAAGACTCTTCAAGTTCCTGAAGCCTATAAATGTTGATGGAGGCTTAAGCCAGCAGTTAAATAATTCCAAATGAATTAAACTTTGGCATGTAAACAAGCAAGAGGGTATCTTGTAGCGATGCCCTTTCCAGATTTCCAGCACAAGCTCTTTGATAGACCTTCTGGTTAGATGAAGAGTCCAACGATCAATGTCAGTCACACCAATTAGATCACGATGGGAGAGCTTGAACTTGTTTATTGCACCAGAGTGAAGCAAAAGCACATGATCAATAATTCTAACAAGCTTGTTCTTGATAATTGAATGGTCTTGGGAAGATATGGGGAGACAATGGTTATCAAACACAAGAGTAGGTAGTGTAGACCATTTGTACCTCCATTTGCTGGATAAAACACTTGTCCTCACTGCTTCCCGAATTGACAAATGTGACAAAATTTGGTCTATAACATGACCCGGTAAGCAACTTAATCTATCTGACTCCACGTCTGTTAGACAAGGAGGCTGTCTTTGCTCTCTTCGCTTCTGGCACATATAAAACACAGATTGCAAGGAGTTAGAAAACAAAATATATTTAGGAGGGCACTACTAGATTTAGAAGGTAAAATGATGATATGGGGGAGAGTTTAAGTTTGTTCAGTTCAACAGTTACGCAAGGGTTTTAGGGTCATGAAAAACCTCAAAACATTAAAACGTTAAAACATAGCCGGAGCAAAAAGGGTGTCCTATCCTGCCTGCTGGTGTAACTTCTGTGGTAAATCATATCAAAAGTGCAATCACAAGGATTTTTTATGTTTTCAATTTAGATGGCTAAAACTTTGCATGAGCGACACATCCATAGCAGAAACTTCTCTTTCTCAAAAGCCCACGCTGTCCCCAAGTCAAGTCAACTGCATCAAAGTGGCTTGAGGAGCAAATACTAAAACACCTATTACTTCCATTTTCAGTCTGCTTCAGGGTGTGCTTGGGAGGAGTGAAAACGGACAGGTGGGTAATTGGGAAACGACAATTGACAGGATATTTGGAGAAAAGATGTGTCTCTATAAATCCAAGATTTTTATCTCTCCATTTTCAAAACTCCAATATCACTCCTATCATTAGAAGTTTGAACTAGTTCTAATTTATTTTTAAGTCATTGTGTTTGCTGAGGGAAACCCCCCCCCCCCCCCAAAAAAAAAAAAAAACAAAAAAAAACACACTCACTCACTCACTCTACCTCCGGGCCTATTAATAAGTTGTTTCTTATAAATAGGCCCAGATGTAGTAACATGCAACTCTAGCATTTAGGCAATGAAGACCGACCAATGCGGACATGTCATTGAAGACTTAAGTCTAGGACATTATAATCATATGGATGCAACAAGCACATGAAGAACAATTGATACGAACATTTTGAAGCCGACGGGAAACAATAGATTAACATCCCTGTGGTTGACCTGAACCATCTTCTCAATGGAATAACCTATACAACAATATCACAAGCCAGAGGGATTTTTCCTCTAATCACGTTCAGACATACTGAAGAATGATGAATAAACAAATCTGAAGTCATCCAGAGGCATTATTACTAGATTAATAACGAGAGTATTATGAATAATGAACATTATTAGTTAATATTTGAAGTCCGACAATACTCGCGGCTTCAATGCATGCTTCCAAACAAAGAAAAGATTCAGGCGTTACCATGTCTAGCGGCCAAGCAATTGAGAGCAATTGTTCCAACACAGATTGGCTCCGAAACACTTCAGAACATTAAGTCAGGGCCATCTCGTCGACTAATTGTGCTACGCACGGAACAGACAGATCCGATAGGATTCCGAATTAAATCCGTCAGTCACTTAGGGTTCATGCTTCATTGGCAACAACACGAATTTCAGTCATAGCTCCGAGAAGCTGAGACACTGTTGCCTTTGGTCAGAGGCCCAGAAAGGTTTCGAGAAAACGCGACGCGAACTTAACCCCCTCGCCCCTATGAAAACTGGAAAATTCCCCCTACCAAGGAAGTTGGATTCCAACCAAATTAAAAGTAATTTTACGATAGAAAAATTTGTTATAATTTATAAAAAAAAAAAATTGAAAAAGTATTTTTAATAATATTCAAACACTCCCTTAGTGCTATTTCAACTAACGACGTCTATCCAATTAGCATTTGGTTAGCTATTTTCAGTAAGGACAAAATTTAGGTCAAGTTAATTAGGTCTCTTGGGTCCAGTTAGCCTCTCAAGTTTTGCCACCTGTGTTACTTTAACGCACCAGCACTTAATCCCAATGTCACTGCTAAATCACCCTTAGTTTTGCATCTCATGGAGAAGTTTTGGTCTTCTTGATGACAGCAAAATGCATCACCTGAAATGACGTGAAGCCAAAAAACCAAGAACATCCTAAGCAACAACGCAATGAAATGGAATAGATCGAAGCAGAATAATGATTCAGACGAATCGTTTTCAAAAGCTGGCAAGTGAGACCCACAAAAACAAAAGGGAAAAAAAAAAGATGAACAATGCCAAAATCAGCTGAGGAGATTACTAGTTCATCGTGAAGGCTCATACGCAAAATGTCAATTGCTTTCCCAGATCTGCCAAGGTCGGAAGAAGCATTTTTAGGGTGGGAAAGATTGGTGAAATTTCTAGGTCTTCAATTAATTCACTACGCGGCCTTCTCCCAAATTTTTAACAGAACCAACGGAGGTTTAATCAGGGTTAAGTGCTGGTGTGTTAAACTAACACAGGTGGCAAAATTTGAGAGACTAATGAGACTCAGGGTTGTTTGGAAGCACTCAAAAATGTTTTTTTTTCCCGCAAAACGAGATAAATTCATCTACATATTTATTTCGTACACCATAAAAACACTTTTAAAACTCTGATTTTGATTCCATCCAAACACCTCCTTAATAGGTTTAATTAACTTGACCTAAGTTTTGGCTTTTTAGTAATTATTTTTTATATGAGTAATTTTGATATATAATTAAATATCTTAATAAAAAGACATTAATTGTATGCAAAAATCTATAAATGATCTTGCAAATTAAAACATAATAATTTACAAAATTGACATTATAATATCAACCGAATAATATAAAGATCACCAATGAGCTAGTGGCCTAGTGCTGTTTAAATCACGTTGATTAATTTTTACATTCCCGGTGCTTTATGTTGTAATATTAAATAAATTGGATCGATGTAGGTTCATAAAGAGTTCGATAGATTTAGGGTGTGTTTGGGTGACACCCCAAACCATGGTTTAGGGATCCAAACCATGGTTTGGTGTGTCAATCACCCAAACACCTCCTCTAAAAACCAAAACCATGGTTTTGGGTTTGACTCCAAAACCATAGTTTTGGAAAAAGCAAAAATTTTTTGCTTTTGGAGAAAAAAAGGAGAGTGTGAGAGCCCATATGATATGTATCTTGTTATTTTTTTATAAACATATTTTTTGATAAACATATTTAATCTTATATTTTATAAATATATATACATTAATTATTTATTAATTATATTATCTTATGTATTATTAATTATGTTGGTAAAAAATATATTATTAACAATTTTATTCCTTCAAATTAAAATATATCATAAAATCTATTTTTTCTGTAATTATCATATTAACTTATGTCTTTTTTTTAGTAATTTGTATATATAAAAAGTGTTTCTGATAACAACTATCCAAACACTCTCACTTCTCAGAATCACTTTTTTACAAAATATATTCTTCACAAAATCTATTCTCCATCTATTCTCCATAATCACTTTTCCAAACCACAGTTTAGTTTCATCCAAACACACCCTTAGTCATGTTATTCATGCGGTCATGCTGCGAGCGGTGCAGTTTGTGTATTTCATTTTTCCTTAATGTATATACTATCTCTAATCCTTAATATAAGAAATGGTTTAATTTTTATTTTAGTCATAATTATAAGACTTTAATCCATTTTGTTTCTTATATTTATGTATTTTTTTAAAGTAGTCCCTCTAATAATGATAATTCTAACTAATAAATTTGATTAGTAAGGATATTTTAAGAAAGACAACACTTATTTATTACAAATAACTAACTTAATTTATTTTTTTAATCTCCTCAAATTAGTTAATCAACTCTTATAATTAAAATTGGAGGTCGTATTTTATTACCTGAGGCATCTAATTAGATTGATCACCAGAGGAAATCGGAAAATGGTTTGTCAAAAAATACTGCCTAACTACTTAGTATAAGAGTTAATAATTGAGAATTGAATTTAATATATCAAATATAAAATCCTAATTTACTTTTTTTTTATTTTTAAAAAAATATCTTTATTAATTGTAGAAGCTTCTTACTAATGGATAATCTCAATCATTCAATACATATTGAATAGGATAACTTAAGAAAATCAACACACATTTATAATAAATAGCCAACTTAACTAATTTTTTTTAATATACTCAAATTAGTTATCTAACTCTTATATTAAAAATCAGAGGTAGTTTTCTACTAATGGGTTTTAACTTTTTCCTAATAAAATGATGGTATTGGTAACTTATTTTTGTCTGAATGGCATTGGTAACTATTTGCATTGATTTAAAAAATTGTTATATTTTACGCGATGATTTGCAAATATACATGTGATAATATAAGAATTACATGCATTCAGCAAGATGTTAATAGTAGTATACACCAACTTAAATCATGCCAACTATCGATAATTAACTTTTGAACTTCTATTTGTACATTTGCAGAGAAAACAAGTAATTTAATTTTGAATCTGTATAACTAGAACTGGAACCCGATTGCATAGATATTTATATTGATATTGAATATAATAATACAGTTATATTATTGTGTTGATTATAAAAATGTGATTATACTAATACATGAGAGATTTGAGATTTGACGACCCACGTTTCGTGAATTTAAGAAGCTTGTGTTGTAGATTGGTCCCTGTTCGTCATGTGAAAAGATGGGAGAGTTTCGAGGTTTGGAAAAGCTAAAGAGGACGACACTTGGTGATGGCTTTGAATTTGATCTTATATTTGAGACATTGCAGACTTTGAATTCAAAAAAATCCACATTTGACTAGAAGATCAAACTAGCGCTTATCCCCTGTTTGGTACCTTTTTTTCTTTTCAATTCTAATCCTGATTATGAATATTCCACCAAAAAAAAGTAAGTGATTTCTGAATCATGCCTTGGGATAAATTTAACAAAAAATAATTTCAATCAATTTAGCAGATCTAGACATGGATGAATTTATCACTTTTTGCTTTTAAATCTCACCCTCGTTGAATCATCGTCACTTCGCAATCTAGGGATTTTTATCAGGTGTTTGTAAAATAATGGAATTCGATTTTTAGATACTATAAATTAGTATTATTGAGATGGGATAATGCAACAAAGTGCAATCAGTTTTGTATGAAAACCTCCCTTGTCAATTTCTTAATCGTGCACAACCCAATCAAATTTTACCCGTTAGGCCAAAGGAAAAATAAAATAAAATTTTACTTGTCATATTTTTTAAATTACATCTATACAAATTTCACAGTAATATATTTTATATGAGTCACATCATTCTAGATTTATAAATAATAAGACTTATTATAAATTTCAGAGTTACTTAATATAATTTTTAATCCCTAAAATTTGATTTTGTTTTGATGCGTTTCAAGAATTTTGGCCTCTCAAACCGTGTTTCTATCTCCAAAGCAAGTTTTACTTGTCAAAATCATTGGTTTCAAATTTCATAAATGATAAACCAGAATTAAAATGAGGTTAAATTTCAAATAACAAAGATCAAATTAATCTTACATTTTATTAATATCTTAGACCTTTTTTTTTTCCCCCTTACAGAAGTGATTCTTCTTATATAAGCGTAGTGTGCTGATAAATAGAAAGAGATCGAGGGGAAGGCAATGCCAACTGGAAGTGGCAGTTCCTTGAAACGCAGTCAGATAGAGAGTTGCTTAACGTAAGCTGCATGGTGCGTGGATAGGCCAATCTGTGATGGTCCTTTTCAACTTTGCTTTAACTTTCCCTCATTTGTGCCTTTTTCAACCAGCCCAACCTAACCCCCCAGGAAAAATATACGAGTTCCCATTCGAATTGTTTAGACGTTTGACTTCTCTTCCTTATTACACCGCCATATCCTGGCCCTTATATATATCCGTGTAATTATGAGGGTGAAAAGTCAACCATTTTTAAATCTTCATACCTCCCCCTTCTTAGATGATTTCGCTCACTGCTCCATCGCTCAAAAATTATCCCCTTCTCTTCACACTTATCTCGGGAATATAATTCTTCAATCTCAGTATATATCAGATCAGCAGAGTTTCGTTTGCCACGTATATACTTAATAATCGCAATCAACTTGCAGAATGGGGAATCAACCTGCTAAAGGGTATGGACGTATGGTTATGGAAGATGGAATTGGAAAGTACAAATATATCTGTTAATTTTTTATTCGAGTCTGATCATGCTGTTCTTTTCTGATATTTTTCACTGGTTTCTTTTTATCCTTGGGTCAGATTTTGCGGACTGAAAACGAGGAGGAGGAGAAAGCCCATGGGTTTCATTCATCACCAAGCTTCCCCCTCGCACGTAGGGATAAGAACGGTGGACGTGGACAGAGTTTCTAACTCGTCCACCGCTTCAGATCTCTGCATCTCCATAGTGACTTGGAATATGAACGGCCAGGTGCATTCAGTGGTGCCTCCATAACTACTGATTTTAAGTTCTAATAAGTTCTAAACCATCATGTCCCTCCAATTGAAATATCACTAATTATCATGTTCATTTTGTTCCCTGTGAAGGTCAACTTTGACGATCTAGCAGAGATGGTCGGGGACATCTGCGAGTTTGATCTTCTAGTTTGGCTTGCAGGAGGCTCCACGGAAAAAAGTTGCAAAACTGCTGAAAGCAGCTCTGCTTGACACTCACATGTAACTTCTTGGGCCTCATCTGATCTGTTTCTATCACTTTCTCCGTTTCCTATTCTTAATTTCTTTGTTGAAAATCTTGACATATTGAACGACGAGGAATGTGAGGTTCCAGCACATCCAGTCCTTATCTAATCATGACCTTTTGCAAATACAGCCCTTTCCATGTTATCTTTCAATAACTAAATAATTGGCAATGATAATTATCATCAGCTAGCAAGAATCATTTTCAAAGTATAGCTTATCTTTTCTCTTTTCCCACCGCAAAACGAGCTCATGTATTCTTCATTCGAATGTCATTTCGGGGACTAGGTCCCGATTGAATACTGAACGCTGTCACTTTTAGACTTTTAAGATAATTACGTTTAACAAGCAATCTAATTCACTGGATAATGACGACTTCAGGCACTGTCAGCTTAGCTGTACAAAATAAGACTCCAATATCCAGAAACAAATAAATCCATAAAAACTTCAAATTCTGTGTTATTGAGCTTCTAAATTATTTTTCCTGCTCCTGTGAACTCATTAGAGTTTTCCTTTTTCTTTTCCCCCCGCTTTTTTCCGCCTGAAATGAAGCCTGATAGGCAAAGTTATCATGCAGTCTTTGCAGTTGTACCTCTTCGGGCCCAAGAATGCTGGATCATTGATTAGAGGTGTGATTTGTTACCCAATAATCCACTCTTTCTTCTTCATCTTGATGCATCACTGAGACTATTGACGAGACTCACATATGATCATCATTGTTACATACACGCAGAATTGAAGGTGGACAAGCAATCAGTTGGAGGCTGCGGAGGAATAATCGGAAGGAAGAAAGGGGCGGTGGCAATCTGGATTAACTACAAATCCATCAGGATGGTGTTCATTTCTTGCCATCTCTCTGGTATATAAACCTTCTTTGCATTTTTTCATTCACATTCACACATAATTAAGGTTACATGAGCTGGTGAGTACTCATAGTGTGTTTGAATGCGCAGCTCATGCGCGGAGAGTTGAAGAAAGGAATTCAGAATGCAGGCACATATCACACTCCCTCTTCTCCAAGAACTGGAATCCATATGCCAGACCAGCCCACGTAACTGTTTGGATGGGGGATCTGAATTACAGGCTACAAGGGATTGATACGTACCCGGCCAGAACTCTGATAAAAAAGGACCTCCACAAGGTTAGTACAGCAACCATCTGTGGCCTTAATTCGTCACAAAGTCATACTTTGCAGAACTTCAAATCTAACAGAAGGTTTCTTCATTATATTTCAATTGATTCAGCAGCTGCTTGGCAAAGACCAGCTCTTACAAGAGGCTGGACGAGGACAGATTTTCAATGGGTATTGTGAGGGCACATTGACATTCAGGCCAACTTACAAGTATAATGCAGGAAGTAGCAACTATGATACCAGTTATAAGGCATGTATCTCTGCAATTCTATTTATTTCCACGTCCATTTATTTGCCATGTGTGTGTACATATATATATATATAGGCTTAGGCTATACAAAGTTCAAACTTGAAACTAGAGCTTATGTTATAGTATAGAATTATAAAAATTTGTGTTGGTTGGATGTGTGCATACAGGTGAGGGTACCAGCTTGGACAGATCGTATATTGTTCAAGGTAGAAGACACAGATAACATGGAAGCAGTCTTATACTCCTATGACTCAATGGACAAAATAACCGGTTCTGATCATAAGCCAGTAAAGGCTCGACTATGCTTAAGACTCCGTCAAACCTCCCCACTACCTGTATCTTAATGATCTCTCAGTTTTGTCATTCTTCTTCTTTGATTATCGGTTTATATCTCTCCCCTCGTAAATTGTTGAAAGTATAAATTTGACAGTTTATCCTGAAAAAATGTAAGGAGAGTGTGAGAATTGACAGGAGAGAGGGAAAAAGTGTTCGTTCGTTTGTTTGTTTCCGGAGTTGGCAAACGATAGATTCAAAAAGTGTGCCATTTAATTAATGTTTCTTACTTCGTTCTTTCATCGGTTAATTATATGTAGACTTATTCGCAGTTTGTTCAGAAGGTTGGCCACTCACCTCGAATTAATTCCAACTCTAGCCACCAATGTTGACATGGTAACGCCAAGCCAAGCCAAGCCAAGCCCGAATGAAAGCCGGTTCCATTGTTGGAACTGAAGCATTGATGGCGCCGTGCCATTACCGTCGACGATTTAATAATTTAAAAATATAAACCAACTTCCATGAAAAAACGAATCTCCCTGTCTTGGCTTTGCCCCTAAGAAAGAATCGCCTCTCCTCTTCTTGTTCAGCTACTTTATGCTGATTCCTCAGGTGCATTCCTTCGTATATTACATTCACATTCCATGGAAACTGAATTCAACGTTCCATGCAAGAGATTACTTTGCAATGCTGCTAATGTGCTAGAAAGTGTAACCTATAATACTTTAGAGGAGAGAAAAGTTATAATAATTCTTAAAATGCTTGAGGAGTATTTATAAATGGCGGGTTGGCGAATGTTCTGATTTGAGTCATAATCTTGTTAGATTTACAGCCACGAGAAATTGGTTTTGACTAGAGTTTTTTAGAGGTGCGAGACTCATTATATAATAGAAAATTTAACTTCATGACTTAGGTTCAGAGATAATAAATGAGCAGTAAAATCGGGTCATTCAGAGATGATGAGTGTCAAAGTTTATATCTTTCACAATTAATCATGAGAAGCATTATACTACCTCCGGTCCTAATTATAAGAGCCAGTTGACTAATTTGAGGAGATTAAGGAAATAAGTTGAGTTAGTTATTTGTCCTAAATAGGTGTTGTCTTTCCTAAAATATTCTTGCTAATCAAGTATATTGACTAGAACTATCATTGTTAGAAGGGCTATTTTGGAAAAAAATATGTAAATATGAGAGACAAATGGATTGGGTCTTATATTTAAGATCAAAATAAAAGTCAAACATGATCTTATATTAAGGACTGGAGGTAGTATAATAGGAACAGTTTAGCTCCTCTCCATGTGTTTTGACTGAGTACCGTTTTTTTTCCTCCTTGTGGTTCTAGTGAATAAATGGAAAGTGGTATAAAGCTTTTAATTTAAAGATTGTTTTCATTGAATATATGATACAGATGACATTCTAAAAGAAGAAGAGACGAACATCAAATAGAGGTCAGACATTATAAAACTGTCTTTTGGTAGGAGGGGAAAAAAACCAGTCCTAAGGACTAAACAAACAACAATTACGATAAACCAGGAAACAACACGCAACCAAACGCAGCCATGAGATGATAAAAGGAACGTGCCTGTCAATAAGATCGTGTCTAATTTTTATAAATTCCCTTGCTGATGTTCGCTTATTTATTTCTCGTTAAATAAATCATGAAGATCCCTAAAATTGTGGCGGGCGAAAAGATCTTCTAAACTCGTTTTTAAGCCATCGAGGGGGCTGAGAATCTGGATAGGCCGTCATGTTTTGCCAGATTGCTTCCCCTGTGCCGCTTTTGCTTTAATTATATATTCTCCTTTATAAAATTCGGACTTTTGAACTGTTCCCCGTTCACATCAAATCAAACCCCCCTTTGAACCGCGTACGTTCGATTCGGCCCCGAACCAAAACAAATAAAAGCAAACAGGGGCTCCTATATTGTTCGTTCTTTATTATAGCTTTCGTAAAGAAACTTTTGGCATTGGGGACTCCTTAAGGCAGAGTTCACAAGGGGCCCCACATGCCTTCTAATCCCTCCAACTGGTGGAAATTCTCAATATCAAGTGCATTCCATGATTTTTCGTCAAACCCCTTCGGGGTTATGACAATTATTTGATCACTGTTTTACGTTTCTTTTAATTTGACTTCCGAAATCGCGTGCAGTTCTGGTCATAATCTCTGTTCACATATATAAATGTTTATTTTTTTTCCCAAAAAAAAGAAGAAAAGTTTGGTTGTAATCCCTGCAGGTGTCAATGATCTAAAGTTCTTTCGTTCCCATTTGTTTGTAGACATACTCGATTTTTCACAGATTCTTTTGCAGACTCGCAGAAATTAATGTTAAAGTAGCTTTCTGACTTGCGAATTAGATCATAAACTTAGAGGGAAAATACGGGAAAAGGTGCGTCGCCAGATAACATCTTTTCCCTCTGATCGTTTCTTTGGTGGTCGAATAATCTGCTATTATCTCTGACTCGTGCTTCGAGCACCAGTAGATTCTGCGTTTATTAAGGGGTAAGTCACTCCTGCACTACCTTGCCCTCCGTTTATTCTAAGCCAGTAATTGGAGGTCAGATGTCATGAAGTTAATGGGTACATTGAGCTGGTAGAACAAGAATCTAAGCTCATCTCTCTTTCTCTCATGACTTGCTTTTATCTATGATATACCCATAGCTTCTACGGACCATCTGCAGTTTAAAAGTTCTAATTATTTATTGAGGTTCGCATGCAATTGATGTCAAATGCAGTTGTATTTGTTTCCTTCTTCTGGATTGTTTTGATACCTTACGATGGTATTAATGTATTCTATCTGGCGGCAGTATCGCCTTTTATTTTTCTTTTTTTTGTTGGTCATAGTTTCGCCTAATTTAAATGCATGAAATGATTGTGTCGATCAGATTGATGATTATTGGCGTTGTTTTCTTTTTGTTGCTCTGGAATCAATGGTAGAAATTTTCGCTCTTATTTTGCATAACCAAGAGCTTTGACGGTGTTCGATTACGTGGTTGTCTAATTTGCAGGTAGAAATTAATAATACCATGAACATATAGAAATCGTCGAATGGGTTGGCTTAGCAAAATTTTTAAAGGTTCTGACCACAAAATTTCGGAAGGGCATTATAATGCAAATTATAGGGAGAGTACAGATTATTACTTGCCATCAACTTCCGGGGTAATGCAATTGTTACCTTCACTTTACTTCCTTTTTCTTTTTGTTCCCTTCTGGCAGATTCATTCAAAATCTTCATTGGTTATCGAAAGAACTGAGAAAGGCCACAAATTCTACTGTCTTGCATTCATCTAGAGCCCCAGTTTAACCTTTATATAAGTTGTCTGGATTTGTTAACTGGGATTTGAATGCAGGGTGTATGGTCAGAGAACGAGAATGAAGATATAGATCGTGCTATTGCACTATCTCTTGTAGAGGAAAATCAGCGAAGAAAGAACATAAATGGTGAGTTGTATAACTTTTAAATGCGATTGCATAAGGTTTAAGGGACTGCTAGCATAAAGAGCGTGTGTAAATATTAACGACCAGTGGAGCAACTTCTGATGGATATAATGCAAGCAGGAAGATTTTTATACACAAATCAGGGCAGTGACCATTTGTTCGTCTTTCTTGCTAGAATCTGGCACCTCCATGAACTAGTAACTGGTTGCTGGATTTTACCTCAGGATGGTGCCCGCATCTTTTATTAAAATATTGAAGTTCCTCTACAACTTCCAAAATTTAATATTCTTTGGATTAGGTTTTCTCTGGGTTACTAAGATGTTTCTGTTATGTACTTATGTACGGTGATGCTCAAACTTCCTTGAGCATTGTCTTTACAAATCAGCAAACATCATTTTGGCGACTGCTTGTTTGAAGCTATAGTTTTCTCCATGGAATTGGTTCAAAAAATCACTATTTTTTTTTTTTTGCTTGAATTGATACTCTATCTGGCTTTCTAGGTTCAAAATGTCCGCTGGTTCATATTATCTCTCAATAATGCATGATGGATACTACATTTAACGGTCTTGTGATGCAAAATCCGTATCTGTCATTTGGCTTTCTCTTGTATAATCATTTTGTGACAGTTTATCTACTAGTGAAATAATGCTATGCCCTTGAGAAGCATTAAACATTAATCAATCATTTACACGAGTCTTTGTTTCTGTTTTTTTCAGCTTTATAGGCTCTAAATTGTGTTTTTCTGAAGATCAATATACAAATGTTTATATTAACAAGTCTTTGTCCTATATAGACCGCAAGTCACAATTAGAAGAAGATGAACAACTTGCTAGAGCAATACAAGAGAGTCTAAATGTTGAGTCTCCTCCCAGATATGGAAATGGAAATATGTATCAACCGATGCCTGTGTATTTCCCCATGGGGTCCAGGTATGAGTTGGAGAAAGGAGAACAATGTTGTCTGATTATAGTTTTAACCATTATTTAGTTTGACTACTTGGACATGATAAGCAAGTGATCTGAACTTCTTTCATTCACAATTTGTCATGTGGTCAAAATTTCAGATTGTCAGTATTCTCCTTTTCTCCCTGGCGCATGTTATGCTCCTGCTTATTCTTTGTAATTCTCTATTTTGATGTATGTTATTGCACTTAGTTGGTCGTTCACATTTCCCCCCGCTAATCCCTCCCTCTTTTCCTTTATATATATATATATATATATATATATATCTGCTGATATTATGGATCACATGTTCACTGATATTATTACACCTTTTATTATCGAAGATGTGTCAGCTGACTAAGGACTGGTTTGATAGTGCCCAGATGCTATCAAAATATGCATTTGCATATCTTTAATATAATGGGATTACATTTATGAACAGAAACTTGGGTTCTTTTTAATAAAGATGAAGGATATATGAGCTTGTAGCAATCCTAACTGAGTTGCTTAAGCTATTTTGGTCATACGGATGAGCCCATGCCTATACAAAAATTAACGTGGTATCAAAGCCCAAAACCACAAGATTCAGGCATCCTATTAGAAAGATGATAGAACTGAGCTCTCTAAGGTTCAAGAGTATAAGCCTGAGCGAAAAAATCAAGGTTGTGATTTGAGGCCTCTAAGGTTGGGGAATGCTAGAGAAAAACAATGTCCCCCACCTAAAAGTAATAAGAAAGATGAAAAGGACATAAATTGGTGGTAATTCAAATAAGTAGTTTTGGCTATTTTGGTTATACGGACAAACTTAAGCCTATAAAAACGTGCACATTTATAAATTATCTTCCATATTGTCTAAGATGTAGACATGACGTTTTGAAAGACTTTTAGGGGACTCCAGGGGTCAAGGTGTAGTCTTCATTCTTCCATTCTTCAATTGATCACTTACTGCTAGAAAATGATAAGAAAACATAATAATCTTTTTTCTTTAAAAAAAAAATGGAAAAAGTAAGAATCTATTTATCATTGTGCTTTTCCACCCAGAAACTTCTAATTTTTAAGTTCTGTTAAATGAGGTTTTCATTATATTTGACCAGTCATGGATTTCATTTCTCAAGTGCTTGGTTTGGTTGTTAGGCAAACAGGGACATTAGGTGTAGACTACGGAGATTATTTATCTCATCTCTTTTTTGGGCGATAGTGTCGGAATACAATGATGAGTGTAGTCATGGCTTGCTGAATTATGCTACAGTTAACAATCTCGGTGCTATTTCTTCTTTTGTGCATGTACCACCATATTGAAACGTGATTCTTTACATTGTAAGGGAGGAAAAGTGGTGAAATAGTAGTGATAAACATGAAGATATAATGCAATCCTTTATTCCCTTACAGCTTCAAAGGAATCAACTTTGTTTAGCGATCATTTCTCTTTTTATGCGATTTATATAATCAATTATGCATGTGATGCAAACACACTTAAATCTATTTATTTATTAACAGGATTTGTGCTGGTTGTAATGCCGAGATTGGTTATGGACGATATCTAAATTGCTTGAGTGCATTCTGGCATCCTGAATGCTTCCGTTGCCGTGCTTGCAACCTCCCAATCTCTGATTATGAGGTATGTGACTTTCAAGTTGCCTGGCAAAGCTCTCCCTTTTTATTATCCTTGTTCCATAAGTACTTACCTCAATCCTTGCTTTTGTAGTTTTCCACGTCTGGGAATTACCCTTATCATAAATCATGCTACAAAGAAAACTACCATCCAAAATGTGATGTATGCAAGCATTTTGTAAGTATTTTTCCTAGACTTATTATATTTCACTTATATCTGATTTGCTCAAGTGGTTTGGCTCTACAAATTATTATGCAATTAGGGATTAGAGCAAAATATCATATTTAGACTATAAGCTTATTGAACTTTGGGATTATACATCTTTTATCTATGCTGAATGCCGTTGGAGTTATTGATTTAATAGGGAGAATGAGCGTTGATGGATTGTTTACCTGTTCTTGACCTTGAATGGTTGGTCTGTCACTTTTTTATAAAACATGAAATTATGTGGGATTTCAATTTTGTTTTTGGGGATTTGAATGTATAGTCTTTTATTATTATTATTTTTCACCTTTGTCTTATGTTTTGATGCTTGCTGATATTGCAAGCAGATGCATTATATCAGTAAGCTTTATAATTCATGACCGTGATTTCTATACTTTCTGATATGTTGGAATTGTAATCATAACATGCTAATTTGCTTTCCCCCTTCGGTTTAGCCACATATATCTTTGCCTGTTGTCAATATTTGAAAATTTATACCTTTTGACAGATTCCAACAAACCCTGCTGGTCTTATTGAGTATAGAGCACATCCTTTCTGGATCCAGAAATACTGCCCTTCTCACGAACATGATGGTACTCCACGCTGTTGCAGCTGTGAGCGTATGGAGGTCAGTCTGAATGCAAAATGTTTATCTACAAAGTATTTATTGGCTGGCCTAAGGAATGCTGGACGACCCTGTTTGGTTAAACTGAAAACAACGCAGCTAAAAAGTTTTCCTTTCACTTATGCAGCCACGAGAGGCAGGATACATTGCTCTTAATGATGGTCGAAAGCTATGCCTGGAATGTCTGGATTCTGCTATCATGGATACTAGCGAGTGCCAACCCCTTTATTCAGACATACAAAGATTTTATGAAGGTCTTCATATGAGACTGGACCAGCAAGTTCCATTGCTCTTGGTTGAAAGACAAGCACTGAATGAAGCAAGAGAGGGGGAGAGGAATGTAAGTGGAAATGTACCTTTTTACCAAATTGCAGTGAAAAATCACCTGATGGTATCATAATGACAATCAGCTGTTGGACATACAAGGGACTTTTGTTTTGGTGTCTGGCGAAATCTTCACAAGTAATTAATATGAAAAATAACTCACTTTTCTTGTCACTCAGTTGCTAATACTTTATCTCGTCAATTTTATCTACGTAGATATTTTATGCACAAAGCATGTCAAATAATTTAATTTGATGTTTCACTTCATAGTCTTCTTGAGTGCTGGTAAAAGAGAAAAATTTGTGCTCCTGTTTTGAAGTCAACAATTGCAAGACATCATCTTGTCCTGGTTCATAATATAGTTTTGAAGATGAAGAGTTAGTTCTAGGTCCAATCCGGTGTTTCCATTTTTGTAGTTACTTGTTTGTCACTTAGTTACTTGTTTATCTTATACAGGGCCACTATCACATGCCTGAGACCAGGGGACTCTGCCTTTCTGAAGAACAGACTATCAGCACTGTAAATTCCTGCTCTGCTTTATTTGGGATCCTTTTTTCTAAATATGAATAGAACTTGTCAAGAACCTCAAGTGACTGAAGATTTGTGGTATGTTGCATTCTAACTTGACCAGGTCTTGAGGCGACCTAGGTTTGGAGCAGGCAATAGAGCAGTAGACATGAGAACACAACCCTACAAACTGACTCGACGCTGTGATGTGACAGCAATTCTCATTTTGTATGGCCTTCCCAGGTATGATTTAGTGCTATTGGATCTATAAAATAACTTGAATCAGTAGGGGAGACACTTGATGCCCATGACCAGATAAACAAATCCAAAAGACAACCCAAAAATTTTAAAAGGCAAAAAAAATTGCAAGATAAACATGAAACTAGGTAGGTTGGTGAATATGTGATTGCGGAAAGTCTGAAAAAGAATATATGTGAGACTAAAGTTTGTTTAACTTAAGACCTGTATTGTCCTTATTACACAATTTAAATAAATCTTGGAAAAATTGAACTTGAAAGGAGTGAAATTGTAACTTACATTTGCTTACCCTTTGGTATCTGTGGGGAATATACATGATTCTTTTTCTGCATAACAAAAAGGACCTTTGGCTAATTCACAATTCATGTATGTTTGATAGTCCTCAGTTTTAGGATGTACCAGTTCACTTTTAGGAAGAAAACTAGTTCATAATTGTCCGGGTTCTTCTTGTTCATCTTTGGTTTGATGAATTATTTTATGCATGATTGCTATTCTGCTTTTTCCAGGTTGCTCACTGGATCAATCCTAGCTCATGAAATGATGCATGCATGGCTGCGACTTAAAGGTACTCTTCAATTCTTTGGAATACTTTCAGCTGGGGGATTGAGCGCTTCTCTACTTCTGATGTTCATTTTCTTTGATGCAGCCGTTTAATCTCCTAACACGGTTTCCATTTGCTGTAAATGTGTCTATACGCAGGTTATCGGACCCTAAGACAAGATGTTGAAGAAGGTATCTGTCAGGTTGTGGCGCACATGTGGTTGGAGTCTGAGCTTTCATCTGGATCATCAGCCTCAACCTCATCTTCATCCTATGCATCCAGGAAAGCCAAAAGACCTCAATTTGAGAGGAAGCTTGGGGAATTTTTCAAGCACCAGATCGAATCAGACGTTTCCCCTGTTTATGGTGATGGATTCAGGGCAGGCCAACTGGCAGTTCGGAAGTATGGTCTCGCAAACACCCTTCACCATATTTGGATGACTGGAAATTTTCCCCTTTAAATTTGGCTACATACGGATTCTCATTCTTTAGAGAGATAAAGCTTGGCCTGTTGATATTAGAAACTGAGGCTAAAGCTACAAGGCATAGCTTTGATAGGGTAATTGAATTTTTTGTACTCGTAATTGTAATTAGCACTTACTGATGGGGAATATTATGATTAAATACACACGATTTGTTTGTTTCTCTGATCTAATAAAGCTTTATTACATCCAAGTGCAGGGGTGTGCCATCCCGCACACCGTGGGAGAGGAAAAATCACCCTCCTAAGCTGTAACTCCCAGTTCTTAGGACATTTGAAGTTATTTTGTTGAAGAGAAGAATCAATAACTTTCACGGTAACCTTAGAACTTTGTCAGGATTGAAATGATATATCTTCCTTGGGCAAGTTCGCTTTAGAGACAACTCACCAACATGATGGTTCCTTGAAAATTTGTTAAGCTGCGCATTTGGTTATGACCTGAACGCGCTTATGAACGCAAGTCGGTTTGCATAGGCTGTCGAAGTCAAAACGTTTTTGTTTTCTTTAAATGATCAATTACGTTGCATACTCCAGCACGGTATCAGCTCCTAGGAAGTTTCCTAGGCCAGGAGCATTGCCATCTAAGGATAACTGATGAAGGTAGATGTAGGTTACTAAAATGTAGGGGCCACAGTCTTGCGTAACTTGTCAGGTCAGTTGAAGTAAAAGCTGGATAAACTCAAATGTGATTTCTGAGTTGACCCAGTTTTTAAGTTTCCTTATAACTGAGGATTGGGCGCGGGGAAATAGGGAATCTTAAACCTAGAGATGCATCATTACACGTTCTTTTAAATAGAGAATGGTAGCATTGTCAGTGGACTCCCGAGACAATAACACAGCATATCATCGTACTCCTCCAGTCCTAAATATAAAACTCTTATGCTAGTGTGTATAATGGTTTTATATTTAGGACTGAAGGAGTATATATATATATATTATGAACAAAGCAAACTAGTATAAGAAAATATACACGTCCAAGTAATGATACTGAGGAATTGTGCGTCCTCGACTTGACTTGAGCGAATTAACGCGTAATATGCGTCATATAGCGAGACCATAAGCTATTTATTATGCGTTGCTTTTCAACAAGTCATCAGCCGGCGTCGCCCCTTGTGGTTATAAAACAACCTAAATACGCGTATATGCCCGAGAGTATGCGGATACCAATAGGCACCAAACTGTATCACATCCTATTTTATTTATTTTTGTGTTTATGTCTTTACAATTCAAAAGAGCCTTGACTAGCAGCCTGAAAGGCAGGGTAGGTTCCAGATTTGGCTCACTATTGCATGCTGGATGTTGCGAAAGAGTGTTTGTGAAGGAAAAGCAAAAATAACATAAAGAAAAGAAAGGGAAGGGGCGTGAATAATTAAGAAGGTGAAGACATCATCATTTGCTGGAATTCATGGAAATCAAGAGACCCGTTGCCGTCAAGATCGAACACTCGAATCATAGCGGCACACTCCTCATGGGATTTCAGGTCTCCCAACTGTTGCAACATTTGCTGCAAGCCCTTAGGCGTTATGGAGCCACAGCCTTTACTAACCTCAAACATCTGAAAGGCACTCCTCAGAACATCATCATCGCTGGACTCGCCCGTGTCTTTGTGTTCTAACAATCGCACGAAGTCCCCGTACCCCAATAAACCGTCGCCGTCGGAATCGAAGTCACGGATCACCCTTTTCGCTCCGTTATGCGTCACCGAGTCGCCTGCCGATGCCATGTAGTGCATGAGTTCGTCGCATGAAATCTTGCCATCCTTGTCGACGTCGAAGTGATCGAAAACATGCCTCAGCGTCTCCTTCTTCTGGTCCAATACGTCGTCGTCGTCGTCGTCTTCTCTTTTGGTGCTAATGGAAGGCTCTTCCTGGGGGCTGGCATTTGATGACTTGGGACAGGGACGAAGGAATCTTGGGAAGGTGATTAACTTGAAGGTTTTGTTAAAGAAGAACTTATTGGAGGACTTGGAAACCATGGCGGATGCCATGGCGTGACTGTGAGAGTGCACAGAGGGGCACTTTTGGTAGTATGGGGACGCATAATCTTGATTCTATATGTGTGCGCGTGTGTATATATATGTATGATGTATAGGGGGGACGAATTAAAAGAATGGAAGGTAAATTGCATGGAAGTTGCGGAGGAGACCGACTTCTCCCCTCTGCTCTGCAAGGACTTGGTTTTATTTCAAGCAAATAAGTCCCCGCCCTTTCAACAAGGCAAGGCAAGTCTACGCTTAATTCCATTTCTTGGCGTTTTCATCAGCATATCCTGCGGCTATGAAACGCAGATCAAATTTCGATACCCGGAAAAAAAAAAATAACAAGGAAAAACATTCACTGAAGCCCACATCTAACTGGTGGGCCTCAATAAAGACAGATAGAGTCCACACTGAGTAGTTCCAACCAAAGGTCTAGCAAGCATTTCATTTAGCAGTAAACCCAAAAAAAGGGGTTTTTTTTTTTAAATTAATGGTTCAAAATTCCAAATCATCTCAATCCATTGAAAAATTAAAAGAACAATTGGGCATTACAAATTCATGGTATATGATCTTGCAGCTCTCCAATTCTCAATATCTGATAAATAGATTGATGGCCCCAAAAAATAATGTATGGGAAATGATTTTTTTTTTGGCAGTTTAAAGGTTTATTGAGTTTTTAGGGAGCAGAATGGAGAAATAAAAATGAGGACGGTCGGACCAAAGAGAAAACTAAGGTCTTGCGCTTACTTTTACTCGACGGAACTTTCATCCTCAGTTTCTCTGCAACCTGAGATGAATTGTCACCTTAGAGAATTCAAGTTGTTTTCATGTACCGTTTGTCTCATTCTCTTCTATTTTTGCAGTATTTTAATTTAACTTTAAGAGATCTAAAGTCATAAATAGGTACTTTAATGCATCCTTCCGTACACGCTAAGCATACTTACAATTATGTTAGCATATTCTTTTTTGCAGCTAGTGTTAGGTAGGGTTTTAGTCTTTTTTGCAGTGTGCCTACTGTTTTAATTTGAATCATTCGACGTTCTTTTTTTTTTGCCCCCGGCACAAATCATTCCATGTTCTCGATACTTTTACTGTGACTTCGCGCGCGAGCATGATTTTTTTTAGTTATTTTTTTATTATAGACAATCTTATTTAAAATACTGTCAGGACGTTATATGTGAACACCTCTTCTTATGAAGATTTAAATTTTTATTTTCTAGCTCTGGTTATCAGTTTTTTCTTGCGATGTACAGACTTTGATACATGGAAAAAAATGTATATTGACCCCCCAAAAAAGTCCAATAATGTCGAACTTACATTTATTGGTCAAAAAATAAAATAAAATTCAGTCATATTTGCATTAAAGTAAAACTGTCACTATCAATTCTTAAAGGTAGTGCCCCTCATTGCTTGAATATTTGGCATATAAAATTATTTGGATTAACTTCTAAAAAATAATTTGATGCAAGTATGATAAAATTTTCTCTCGATTTACATACAAATATTTTTAAGAAGCTAATTCAAACGCCCTTTATAATTGTTCAAAACCATAACTATAAAACATATTAATGTTACGATTAAGATGCCGTAATCCTCCTTTCTATGGTTGGGGCACTTCTTGTTAAATAGATAATTTTTTAATTTATATAAATTAATTGTCAAATGACTATACAATCAGTGGCCATATTCTGATCGTGACACTAAAGCCACAATTCAACGAACGGTACCGGGCCCAAAATGAACCAACATTATTAGCGGGTATTAAAATTCCGAGGTCATTAAATATTGCGTCAGATTTCAGGCGGCTTGGAAAACATTGAATTAGTAGGAAACTAAAAATGCGTTTGCCCAAAAAAAAAAAAAGAATTAGTGAAAACTGCAAACACGGAGTGGGCACGGGACGTGAGGATGTGAGTTAAAAAGATAGCCTTACAACTCTGAAGATTGAACTTTGAAGGGTTCATAGCCTGGTGACGTGTGGGAAATAAATTCTTCCAGCGAGTTATGCGTGACGTACTATAATACAAAGTTAAACCTAGTTTCGTAAAAACAAATTGTCCCTCACACGGTTTTTGTTTTAAAACTGACGCCTTCATCTATTATTTTTTCTTATTGACAGACAATTAGTATAAGAACTAGTCGATTAATTTGAATATATTAAGAAAGTTTGTTAAGTTAGTTATTTGTAATAAATAAGTGTTGTCTTTCCTAAAATACCCTTACTGATGTATATTAGTTAAAACTGCAATTTGTTGGAATTTTTAACAAGTACAACTACTATAAATACCACTTTTAAAAAAATTGAATAAATATGATAAACAAAAAGACTAGAGTCTTATATTTAAAATCAAATTGAAAATCAAATTAGTTCTTATATTAAAAACCAGAGATAGTACCTAATTGTTTAAAAAATATCCCGGAAAAAAAATAATTGTTTAAAAAATGATGCTAAACTACTCTTATTATTGTGTTTGGAATAACCCAGGACACCTAAAACTGTAGTAGGCCCAAACAAAAATTAATCAGGTGAAAAAGAAATTACGTTTAGCATAGTAGCAAAACCAAACGAGTTTTTACCCGAAATCCATTTTAAAGCTGGAAGCAATTTTTTCTTACTTTTGACCTTTTTAAAAAAAATTTCAACATACTTCCTCCGGTCCTTAATATAAGACTTTATTTGACTTTTATTTTGATTCTAAATATAAGATCCCAATACACTTTGTTTCTCATATTTAAACATTTTTTCCCAAAATAATCCTTCTAACAATAGTAGTTCTAACCAATATACTTGATTAGTAAAAATATTTTAGAAAAGATAACATCTATTTATTACAAATAACTAATTTAATTTATTTCTTTAATCTCCTCAAATTAGTTAACTAATTTTTATAATTAGGATCGAAAGTAGTATTACATAAATTTCTGACAATGGTTTTTTCCCCCATAAAACTTATTTGAACATAAATTGCATTATATTAACTTTTTTTTTGTAGGCATATGCATTTTTCTATTAGAGATAATTCTATTCGAAATACTGTGAAGCACAAAATGTGACACCTCTTCCAATGAAGATTTAAATCTTAATTCACCACCTTATAAAAATTAACTTCTTCTACTAGACCCAACCTCGATTGATATATTAACTAACTTTTACAACAATTTCAGTTTGTAAAGGCCAATTAAGATGAAAATTACTAGGGCAAACAACGAACTAACATCAAGGATATGAAAAAGCAAATTGAAACAATATGGGGGGCTCTGTGGGAGCAGACACAGTTATGGACCTGAATCAAGAGGCTTGTTTGAGACTCATTGGTGGATGCATGAATGCAACACAGTGAAGTTCAGGAGAGGAATAACAGTGGGCCATGGCAATTCACGAAAGAAAAAGGCCGAAAAGGCCGATCATGAGATCAATTGAAAGTTAAGTAATTACTCCTCAAGAAAAACAAAAGTCGCTTATCTTGGCTCAAATGGTAAAACGAGATAGGTCGCATCCAAAGCTCAAACCCTCGTCATATAAATAAACCATACAAGCGTCGTGTTTCAGAAAAGAAAATCTGAATCATATTTTACCAATGCCGATCCCATCATTCAACATCTTTAACACTACATACATGCTTTTTTCTTTTCTTTTTTTTGGTCGAAACACTGTAGCATGCTGGAACCTTCAAATTTCAAGCCATATATGACAACTGACAAGTTGTCCCCGTGAATTCCACCCAGTATGGCCAAGCTGGGTGACGCTAGGGTTTCATCCATGCGAGGGCATCAAGGTTATATTACATAGAGTGGTCTTTAAGAGTTAAGACAGCTTATATCAGAGAGGATACCCAATATAGACCTACAGAATTCAAAAAATTCAAAAGAAAAAACACCAAGCATGGAAAAAGTACTACTAGTTTCCAACAGGTTTAGGATTGCATGGACCTAGCCAATCCAAAAGGCAAATCAGCAATCAGCAATCAATAAATGCAGATATCGACATCATCTCCAACGGCAAAAACTAAATTTTCAAGCGCACAAATTAAAAAAGACCAGAAAAAACAGATAACTCAATCGTTTCTGTTACCTCACTCAAGCGGACATAACCATAATAATCAACAAACAAACGTCTAACTTTCTCTGTAGATGAGATCCAGCATATGGCAAACACGAAAATCAATAAACAGAAACTAATGACAAAGATAGCTGCAATAGTATTGATGAAACAAAATATAAACAAAAGCCTTAGTTACAGAGTGCATCAGAAGATCTACAATGACTTAAGTTCGGCAAAAACATCATTTTTCTTAGCAGCTTCAGCTTTATCAAGTCTATTGCCAAATAAAAGCAAGAAAAACACAAAAAGCAATAACCATAAGAAGCCTCTTTAGATAATAATCTTGTTGACCTTGACCTGTATGACGAGGATAATATCCGTGAGCATGGCCGCCATGAAATGAATTAGGAAATCCATAGTGAAAACCAGTTGGAGTACCATACATAGCGCCATCATGAAATCCATGCAGTTGAAAGTTAAACAACGACGGGATAAAACCACCAAATCCTGTGAAGAATGTAAAATTCCCAAATCTTGTTGTTGCCATTGGAGCAAAGCCTCCCAACCCACCCATGAATCCAAACCCATGTTGAGGAAAGTGGTTTGATTCAGGCGGTGGGGCAGTTTCAGGTCGCTGACCTGATGGACGATGCGGTATGTTCATACCAGGAACAGACCTCGACCTTGGGTCAGTTGAGGACTTACCCCTTCCGTATAAGGGAACCAACTTCTCCTCCTCAATGAGGGCCTTACACACTGGGCATTCCCGTGACTGTGAGTGAAAGTGAAGCCATTTGTAGAGACAGGGCCAACAGAAAAGATGGCCACATAAAGTAATGATAGGGTCTTGTGCTAAGTCAAAGCATATGTTGCATTCAAAATTGCCTGCATCGCTGTTACTATTGTTGCTGGAGTAGGAAGGGCTTGGTGGTGATCTGCTCGTTGATTCCCCAAACCTGCTTGCCATCTATTGGGTCCAACCTTCAGATGCCTGCAAAAGCCCCATCTAAGCCGTTACTTGCGGCGATCTACAGACGCATAATTTGGGGGCAACCTAACCAGTTTAAAAAAATCCTAGGCAGCAAGTCCCATCAAAAGCTCTTTTTATCGTTTTTCACGGATGATGACCGTGCAAACAGAGAACTCTTCTTCACTGGCCTCCCGAGAAGGAGATTCAATAAAATCGTCTAATTAATAAGCACAAGGATCGTTACATTTACAATTGGTATAATTCATCAAACATGAAGCTCGATACGGTGTGTAGAAATTGTTCGCATCACGGGATACCCACAATCATCCACAAAACATTTAAATAGTCAATAATATCAATAAACAAGCACTTAATTTAATTCAACAAAATCAATAACCATATGAAAGGAAGAAAGAGAGAAAAATGCCCCTCAAATGCAATATACACAACCTCAGATCTTGTTTCGTAGTAATAGCAAATTACACGCTGTTGCGGAGACAGTTAGAAAGTGATACGGAGGAGATCGGAGTTTAAAAATACCGGACATAATATGAAAAAAAATAGATCAATATTTTCCGAGAAATAGAGTTACCGATCTGCAGAAATAACGAGCGATCGACGGATTCCAGGAAAGAATGACGAATTCTAGAAGGAAACCAGAAAGACGAATATCGAAAACTAGAAGGTATCGAGGTGTAGGGCACAATAATCACGAAGACAGTACAACTTGGCGAAGAAGAGGAAGAAAGCACGCGGAATTGGAATCTTCTACCAAATACTCCCTTCTGTGTTTTTTTGTCCACCCCAAGACAGTAAAATTAAAACAAAAAAGGAAAAGAAGTACAGCAAATATTAAAAAGAAAACTCCCGCACTGTAAATTAGCCGGTCGGGGAGGAGGGTCGAACCGTCGAAGCAAGTCTGCAGTGTGGCACTGTGGTGCCTGGCTGCCTGCAAGCTCAAGCAGAGGAGTAGACATTAAGAAAACTCGTTATGAAAGACAAACCTCAATGAATCCAAAGCAATTCGATGTTCTGAACCATCAGTTCCGATCCAAGAGAGAACAGACAGCAAGCCTTTTAAAATATTAATATGCCTTTATCGTACTCATTTATAAACTATAAAATATTACTACCTCCGGTCCTAATTATAAGACCCAATTGACTAATTTGAAGAGATTAAGGAAGTAAGTTAAGTTAGTTATTTGTAATAAATAAGTATTGTCATTCCTAAAATATCCTTGCTAATTAAGTGTATTGGCTAAAACTATCATGATTAGAAGGATTATTTTGAAAAAAATACATAAATATGAGAGACAAAATAGATTGGGGTCTTATAATTAGGACCAAACAAAAAGTCAAACGAGGTTTTATATTAAGGAGTGGAGGTAGTATTATTTTCAAGAAATTTTTTCAAAAAAGGTTATTTCCCTCTTCATAAGTTTTGTCTTTTTTTTTTTTGGGTAACAAGTTTTGTCAACTTTTAGCCATTTCTATTTTGTGCCAGTTCTCGACTTCTCGGTGTTGTCTAGACCAATAGTGGGCTTATTGGTTCTCTATCTAACTAATTAGTTGAGTTTTGCTTTTGAGACTCTCGTCTTATTTTTATTTATACAGTTTTTATTTTATATGTAAAAGTTGCAGTTGAATTTTATCTTAAATATAATAATTTAATTTATCTTATCTCTTAAATTTATAATTTTTTTTCAAAACATCCTTATTGATTGTAGGGATTCATACTAGGGATGGTTTCAATATACATAATTAAATATGGTAGTTTGGGATGATCAGTACACAATTATTACAAATAATCAATTTAACTAATTTTTTTAGTATAATCAAATTAGTTATTAAACTTTTATATTAAGAATCAGAAGTAGTATTATTTTTTCCAGCCATACAAATACAGAAAAAAAAAGTCCAGAGGAATCTATATTCATCATTTGTCTACCTCAATTAACCTCTTGCAGCCTAATGGAAGATTGATTAAAAAAGTATTAACTCTGTACACATTCTTAACAAATTAGTCTAGAGAAACTAGATTTTCTACATGTTTGTTTGAACTTTTTAAAATTAGGTGGTTTGAAATAACTTATAAATAGTTTTTAAATTTTGATTTATAAAATATCAGGTAAATATATAAAAAAGGTTTTGTTTTCACTTATATAAAACTAGCTTATAATTGTAATTTCAAATGAGACCTAAAGACGACCTAATCACATCAATATCCCCTAGCATTATAAGGGGTGTTTGGCAACCTTCAAACTATGGTTTCAAAAACACTTTTTCGCAAAACGAGACAAATTTTTTCACATTTATTTTGTAAACCGTAAAAGTACTTTTAAAACTATGGTTTGATTTCTATCTAAACACCCCCCATAAAAATCTATGAGGATCTTACTTGCCGCTTCAGTTGAGACAATAGCAAAAATCTTTTTTTTTTTTTAGCCCCTCATTCCCAGCAAATCCCAGTCCTTTAAAGATTCCTTTCGATTTGTCCATGGGACAAGTTGTGAAAACCAAATTTTTACATGGGCGACTTCACATAAATGCCTTGGCAATCTTAGATCAATGCAGCAGAATTTCCTGATATTATGCTGTTTTCGTTTTAACATGTTATGCTACTTGCCTTGCGTTAAGTTGGCTGTCGTAAAAGATAGGGAATGGATTAAATAGAGAGAGGGAGGGAGCGAAGAAAAGTTGAAGGAAATAAGGAAAATGGTGGAGACAGAGATGACACAGGTCCAATATTGCACCACGCATGCAAATGTGATAGCACTTGAAGATTCAATTCACACAGGAGAGTGGACAGTAATTTCTGCAAGCACGCATGTTCAAAGATCATAACACAAAGCAGGCCTTGGCGTAACATTGGTGCGCACAATCAAATTCAATTACCTTCATTAATGACAAGCTCCATATGTAATCTAAACATAGACCTTGTCTTTTGACTTGCATCGTGTTGTTTCGATTTCAGCTCAACAGAAAGAAGAGAAGAAAGAGAATGATAGGGCTGGCAGTTAAGAAATTGCTTTCCTCCCTCCAACAGGCAAGTAATTTAATTATTGGTGTAGGATGGATGCAAATGTCAGCGTTTGCCAAAATTGAAAGTAAGAAAAGAAAAAGGGCCCTTTTCGGCCAATTATTGAGAAAAGGATTGATGGGGCCCTTTTATCAACCGTGAAGGCTGCAGGAGGAGTCCATGTGGTTTAGAATGCAATTTTCAAAAGCTGCTCACTGCAGACCATTTCCAAATCACTTGCCAAATATTCACATCTCCTTGGTTTGAATAAAATTGTTTTTTAATTAAAAAAAATTCACATCTCCTATGCTTGGTATTTTATTTCTGGCGGAACCGCGTCAAATCTATTTTTGTTGTGCGCGCTTTGTCCGTTGAATATGCGCGTCTTCTAGAATATATGGTGTGGTTATATTACACTCTGAAGCTATCATCGCACCAAGAATCAATCACATTTACTTCTTTTAAATGAATCAATTATGAAATTAAGAAAAAAAATTGATCCCAAATTCTAAATTTCGAAATTCATAAAACAAAAGCCGTGAGTATTAAAAAAAAACAGAATAACAGCATAAATATACCCATCATATTATTTTTTTTCCGCGGCCAGTTTGTTTTGAGATTCTCGTTTCATTTATGTTTATATCACAACTTAAAATTTTTCTGGCAAAAGAAAATTCCGTTAAAACTGTTCATTTTGTAAACTTAGAAAACTTGGGATTAAATGTTTTTAAGTTATGACATAAATTTAATAATTAATATCGTATAATCAACCGTTGATTCCAAGCGCCAAGCGGTGGCGGCGGCTGCTCCTTCCTGGGCCCGATCAAAAATCCATTCCAAGTGTACAAAACAAATCCATTCCTTCTGAGCTTCACAAATCACGATGTGCGGTTCCCTAACGCTCACCTCTTTTGGTTACTCCCCAAACAATATCCCAGTATCTGATTCAGAATTCCTGTTTCATTGATCCAACATTCCTTCTCTTTCCTCCCGGAGGAAGTTTACTCGATGCTTCATAACGACAACAAGAGCGAGGAACGCCCATATTATTCTCCCAATCTCCCTCTATAACTCATTTGTCAGCTCTTGCTCCTTGCAGGTAAATTCTCCCATCTTATTTCTTTGCTCTGACTCAACTCCATATTTACTTTGCCTCGTATTGATTCTTTTCTCGCAAGAAACTTTCTGATCGGTAAATCTCGTTGAAATTCGTCTAGGTTGATAATTTTGTTTGAATTATTTTCTCATTTCTTTCTTTCTTTCTTCTCATGCTTTCATTTTGCTTGCGGTCGGCAAGAAATGAGAGTAATAGATATTTTTGTTGTCTTTATAACACAAACTGGATTTGTCACTCTCCCGTATTTGCCGGTCTTTATTGACCAAATATTACAATTTGAGGAAGAGATGTCAGTTGACACTGGAAACTGCATACTGTAAAGATAAATATTTATAAGATTTGCCTTCTTTATGGGGAAGGGATAGCCTAGTTTAAAAGTCAGATTGGGAAAGGAATTAGAATTTTGAACCCTGGTTAGACAACTATTTCTGATCAGCACTTTTGCCATAGGAGCCAAAATTCGAGAATCCATTAATTTTATACCAAGCGTAGTGGTGCCGGTGCATTGTCTTTGGCCAAAAAGGAATTAATTGATAATCTCTTTTGTTAGAATCCTTAATCATGATTTATAATGTTTCCTTTCCTCGTAGTTACTGCCCAAGTTTCTTAAACATTTTTCTTCAGGATTTTGGATCAGAAACATAGATTTCTCCAATAGCTACTGCTTATTGCGTGAAACTCTAAAAGTGACATGCTCTGAGAGCGATTGGGATCTCTGGCAATATCTGTGGTTTAACGTTGTGGACTTTATAGTAGACTAGACTCCACTAGACAGAGAAGTTGTTCCGGAGCACTTATTAGATTGGTGATCCGATGTATGGTCGTCCAAACACAAGCTTCCGTATTCCCGAAGTGTTTCTGTGTTCCAAGCGGAAAATGTTTACAAGACACAGACACGTATCAAGTGATTTTGTCTTTCGTCTGAACCGTTTTGCATTTCTAGTGGTTTTCTGCATTTTTCAGCAAATGATATTTTTTTTACCAGCTATTATGCCCTTGCTTTCAATGGAAAAATTGGGACTGTGAAAACGCTCGAAGTCTTTCCCGAAGTGAGCTTACCATTAAACTAGTTTCTATCATTTTGCCAGGGAATTTTACCGTGCATCAATTCAATGTATTTACTATTTGGCGTTTCATCTCAGGTGGGGAGCAAATTGACCTGAAGAATATATTTGTTTTGTATAATCATTTCCTAAGTTTCAGGCTGCCATATCAGGGATTTGTCTGTTGTCAAAGAAATTAAGGATGAAAATGTCTTTAAGAGAAGGAACATTGAATTTAGTGATCAAGAAAGGTTAACTCCATGACGCCATTAATTGGAGAACAACTAACGACCCAAGAACAATTTTTGTGGTGTCTCTCACAACTACTTGTGTCTTTCTCATTGGACTCAATTTTCAGATCAAAGGTATTTGTACAACTGAAACCAATTAAAATCTCGGCCCATAGAGCCAGGACATTAGAAATGAAACCATGCTTTGAGTTTGCTGGAGCTGCAAGACTAGATTTTATTTTCCTTTTCTTTTTCCCGTTTACTTAGCTAGTATGTGACTAGATGTCTAGATGAACTCACTTATTAAACAGATTGACAGAGCTATATGGAAATGCTCTAATTACTGCTTTCCTCTGGACCTCCGAATCAACTACTGCATAAGATATACTTACCTTTATTTCATTGTATGTAAATATTGTTTATTATTCATGCTATCGCTGTTATGTTCTCTCTTTTTGTCCAAAAGTTTTGGAAGTCTTATACATTAAAGGCCGTTATTGCAGAAGGGGAGGTTTTCCAACAGTTCCTTGAAGAAGATGGAAGTTTCCAGACCTCTGAAATCTGATTGTAGATTAAAGCACCGTTCTCTGACCCCTATTAGGATTTTAAGGGGTCTGTTATGCTTAGTGGTGTTTATTTCTACAGCTTTTATGTTTTTAGCCTATTTTACACCTGTGGCAGCTGTGTTAATGCGGCTTTTCAGTATACGTGGTAGTAGGAAGGCCGTCTCATTCCTCTTTGGACTTTGGCTAGCCCTGTGGCCTTCTTTATTTGAAAAGATAAACAAAACTAAAGTGGTCTTTTCTGGAGATAGTATTCCGATGAAGGAACGTGTTGTACTTATTGCAAACCACAGAACTGAGGTTGATTGGATGTATTTGTGGAATCTTGCCCTTCGAAAGGGACGTCTGGGCGACATAAAATACATTCTTAAGAGCAGCTTGATGAAGCTGCCTATTTTCGGTTGGGGATTTCACATTCTGGAGTTCATTGCAGTGGAGAGGAAGTGGGAGATAGATGAGCCAATATTGCTCAGCACGCTTTCCACATTAAAGAACCCTCAGGATCCTTTGTGGCTGGCAATTTTTCCGGAAGGAACTGATTATACGTACTGCCTCATCATTCCTCTTGCTCTTCACTGTCTTTTGGCTTCTAAGTGCTTGCGTCTTGACTTGATGATAACATGATTCAAGACGGCCTTATATTTTCTAGGAATTTATGCCCTCAATTTCTGTTTTGACTAGCAACGCTAAAATATAGGCTTCATATTATATTGTGCGAGTGCACAACTCAATGAATGAAAATATGTGATATTGCTTTTTTATGCAGCGAAGAGAAGAGCAAAAAAAGTCAAAATTATGCAGCTGAAGTGGGGCTTCCTGTGCTAAAAAATGTGCTCCTTCCAAAAACTAAAGGTTTTTATGCTTGCTTGGAAGTTCTACGAGACTCACTGGATGCAGGTTTCTCTTATAATTTTCTGCTACTGAATTTTAAAGGACACAGCTTGTCAATTGATAAAAGTAGCTATTTGAGAAAATCATGCATTTTCGTGGTCATAAGTAGCTAAACCTGATATTTTTCTTGGACGACAATAAACCTGATACTGAAAAATATGATTTAGCAAGTATAAATATTTTGTGGCTCCGCATCTTCCCCACGGCAAATGTGATGCCAATTCATAGGCCTGCTTTTGCTTCTAATAATGTTTGATTATCTTTCAACATCATACTTGTAAAGCAGCTGACTGAGCCACTGTGGCTTTGCTTTTTTCTTTTTTTGGGCCTTTCATCTGATCCATCTTTTTATGTCTGATGAAATTTATATACCGCAGTATATGATGTAAGCATTGCGTACAAGAATCAATGCCCTTCTTTCCTGGACAATGTCTTCGGGACCGATCCGTCAGAAGTGCACATACATGTTCGGCGTATCCCTATTGATGGCATTCCAGCTTCTGAAACCAAGGCTGCCTCTTGGCTAATGAATGCGTTCCAGATGAAGGACCAGTTGCTTTCTGATTTCCATATTAAAGGCCAATTCCCTAGTCAACTAAACGAAAAGGAACTATCTACGTTCAAGTGCCTGGTTACTTTTGCTGTGGTAGTTTCTTTGACTGCCGTGTTCACTTATCTTACATTTTTTTCTCTCATTTGGTTCAGGGTGTATGTGGGCCTGTCTTGTGTATATCTCGCTAGTGCTACATGTTTCAAACTTAAATTGATGCCGCTTACATACTATGTTAATGCACTCTTTTACAGCAAAAAACAAAAGAGTGGATAATGATCGCTTTTAGAATTGCAATAGACATGTTGGATGATGATGAACCTGATCTTGAATTGTTCAAGACAATTGTTTTTTGTTAAATGCTATTCATAAAATTATATTTAAATGGTTAACACCAGGAGTAAAAGCTGAGGCATTACAACGGGCTTTCTCTCAGAAATTGCAAGCAGTATTTATGTAGTATGATGAATTCCTAAAGTCCCTTAGCTTCCTTGATCATCATGGCCTGGCGACATATATAATTGATGCCATGGGATGAAGCGCAAGAGCTCCAGAAGGGAATGGGCTGAAGTTTTAGAGAAATAGAGTTCTATCTGCATTGTATTACTGAAAATTGATGGATAAATTTTGTATATAATGGGATTAGCTTCTCTTCAGCATGCTTCAAGTATTCTCTGTTGCGGTCAAATTAGGTCGCTTCAATTACCGCATAAGTTGAATTCCTGACATGGTTGCGCAGATTTGGTTTGGACAACTCATCCCCTTGTATGGTAATTACTTGCAGCATTTCATGATGCGCATATAGCCGTGCGGTAAACATGCATGGTCAAGGATGTGATCAACCTTAGACGCAATAAACAATCGATCATGGGGTGTTCTAGCTCATTATGAATTAGGTATAAAACGGGGAAGATTTGACTACAACCAACCACCCTGGTGATCTTCTTTTCGCTCGCTGGTTTTAAAAAAAAAAAGAAAAAAACCTTTTCGCTCCAATTATTTGTTTGCGCAATTTACTGCCGACTTCCTCTTTTTTCTTTTCAGTCCATGAGTTGATGAATTCCAACTTATGGATACCCGCGACCCCACCGGAGAAGGGGACCACACATCCCGGGCATATCATGATGCTCATATTAATTTGGACGACCATCAAACTTGATTTTAAATAATTTGGATTTAGTTTTTATACTTCGAATATATATTTCAATCAAACTACAAGTTTTTTTTTTAATAAAAACTCATTAGTTTCTAAAAATTAATTTTCCAAACATGATGATACGCTTCCAATTGATCAACATCCTATGAACTATAGTGATTTGATCTTTGCAATTAAAATTAGATCATACAAGTCCCCATTTTCTTTTGTGGTATGATCTGATAAAACAGTTGGAGAAACAATTGGCTAGCAAGGAGGTCAGTAAGTATACTATCTTAAGGGAAGAGCATGGATAACCACAAACTAGGGGCTCAGGAGGGGAGAGCATGGTCCGCGCAACACACGATAAAAAAGTAATTGACCATAACAACCGCCTGAACTCATTTATGTTGCCTATCAGAAATTCTCCCTGAATCATAGTTGTTCAGAAAGATTATTAATTTTCGTGTCGTGTCTTGTCCGCTTTCTCGCGAGGGACATATATATACATTTCTCATGGCAATGCAGTTCACGTGTTTGCATTGATTATATTGTTTGTCCTACTTTGGATGAGATCTAATATAGAGTTATAATAATGCTTGAAGGCTGGCTGGCCTTCCGTATACATACATACATGCATATATCGTGGTCCATTAGTACATGTCCATATGGCTAAATGTGCTAACTTTGGCAATGAAGGGAAAAGAATGTTGCCAATTAAATTGCTTGTAATTAGAAATTCGTGGGGCTTATGAAGTGCTAAACCGATTGAGAGCAAAAACGTGGCTAGCTATGGGGCGTGGAGAGGGTTGAGGCATAATGGCTGGCGGCGATGGGGAGCACGTGGGGTGCTGCCTCCCACGACGTCGTCGCTGCCCATCTTCCTTTCTCCCCCGAGACACTCGCACTCGCCCCATTATTTGACTTTGATCCTTCCCTTTCCCACCTCCTATCCCATTTTCATAACATAATCCCCACTTCCTTCAACCGTATTTAACTTGCATTGCATCAACTTTTCTTTAAAAAAATTATAATAAATTTGCTAAAGGGTTCAATTTTTGCTTGGCGGAAGTATTACCAAGCGTCCAAGACACAACTACATGTTCACGACGGGCAACGTGTACGTGGCGTCATGCGTTCTCACTGCTCAAGGGCCCAGTGCTTATTTATTATTATTGTTATTGTTATTGTTATTGTTACTTGACCCACAAAATTTGATTTTAATGTGATATATGTTTGCACTATTTTTCACATATAAATATATAATAAAATAAATATAAATTACTCTTAAGAAAGCACGATCAGTTATGGGCCACTAATAGAAAACAGCAGCCCGTGCTGGAGCATAAATGCGGAGTGCAAAAAGTGACAATGGCCCTTAAAACAGTATAAATACGGCCCTTCCCAGTTGTAACTTCCTCACGCACGATCTCATCTCATACCTGATACCCCCGCCCTTGCTCTCTGGCCTTCCCATCTTCACCCTACCTTTACTTCGGGTCGCTATGGCTCTTCCTTCTCACCTCTTTCTCTTTCTTCTTCTTCTCTCAGGTACTTCCCCTCCTTTCTTAATTCCATCTCACTCTGAATTAACACGTTTGCGAGCCACATTTATACTGTTACATCGTTAACACAGACAAAATATACATAATATCTAAAGATTAATTAATTTACGATGTGATTCTCCGATCCACACACACGATCGATACAGAGAATATCATGTATCGTTACGGTAATACAGACGAAATATACACAGTATTTTTTGCATTTTAATTACAATTAGATTTTGTGTTGCTGTGGATGGAGTTGCAGGTTATAATACAGGTTCGGCCACGGTGTTCACCCTGGAAAATCGTTGCAGCTACACGGTATGGCCTGCCACACTTTCAGGTAACGGAGCTGCCATTCTGGGCGACGGTGGATTCTCCTTGGCGCCTGGATCCTCTCGTCAACTCACTGCTCCATCCGGCTGGTCCGGACGCTTCTGGGCCCGAACCTCCTGCAACTTCGATTCCTCCGGAAACGGCAAATGCGCTACCGGCGACTGCGGTGGACTCCGGTGCACTGGTGGCGGCGTTCCTCCCGTCACGCTCGCTGAGTTCACACTGGGAACGCCTAGCAATGTTAAGGATTTCTACGACGTGAGCCTGGTCGATGGTTATAATGTGGGAATGGGTGTGAAGGCAACCGGGGGAACCGGTGACTGCCAGTACGCGGGCTGCGTTGCGGATTTAAATGCTAACTGCCCCAGTGAGCTGCAGGTCAGGAATGGAGCTTCCGTGGTGGCGTGCAAGAGCGCCTGCGCGGCGTTTAACACGGCCGAATTTTGCTGCACCGGCGACCACTCCACACCGGCGACATGTGGACCCACGCAGTACTCGGAGATGTTCAAACGTGCGTGCCCAACCGCTTACAGTTACGCATACGACGACGCTTCCAGTACTTGCACATGTGCCGGCTCCGATTACCTGATCACATTTTGCCCCTCCCAGTGACCGCTTTACATTACATTACTAGTGAGCGTTGCATTATGTTGGTTCAATAATCATATTAGTCATAAAATTCAATCATTGTGGTAACTGAAGGTAAAAAGGGGGGAAAAAAATTCATTGTAGTAATTATATTGATTAATTATGGTTATAATTTTGGGGTCCTGCCATATATACGTGTTACTTGATGGCGGTGTTGGATTCTGTGCAAATTCATGGTTTTTTCCCTCGAGAGTGAAGGTTCGTTTGTTTCAATTGTAGTTTCTTCGGTTTATTGATAGATGAATCTTTAGATATGGTGAGAACTGAGAGGAAATTTAAAGGCAGGAACAAATTCCGTACTCGCTGGCTGAGAGATGGTGAGATTGTTGACCTTGAATTGAATTATCATCTTGGAGAATAATCAGCTTATCCTCTGGCAAAAAAACAAAAAACAAAAAGAATAATCAACTTATAGCGATGTTACATATCAAGGTATACCCGGTACAAGCTGTGAAATATGGTCAGATTCATTTTATTATTTTAGGAAATGAAGTTTTTTTTTCCTGAAAACAATGTTTATAATCGCATACCTTTTTTTCGTTTGTACACAATCGTCTACCTTTTTATTATGGATATATTATGTGCTAATTCCCCTTGAAATTGACAAAGGTTAAGACGCTCTTTAAAGATAATGGCGGTATCTCTAGCTAAGAAATCCCCCCCCCAAAAAAGAAAAAAAGTTTTGTTCCCAAATTTTTTATTTCTTGTGAAGAATAAAAATTGATCTATTTAATATTATAAGAAATGGCTATTTTATAATGATAAAAAAGTGTTTAAATTTTACAACATTATATTACTCAGATAATAGGTACAAGAGAATCTTAGTCAATATATGCAGATGATATTATATTTTATTAACGTAACAAAGAAATTCAGTAATGAATGTCGTGATTACAATTGAAGAGTACAAGTTTTATTGTTTCATTAAAAAAGAATTTTTGTTTGCCTGCATGAGAAGAAAAGGAATTAATGTTGATAAAAGTACGGCAGAGAAGGCGTGAACGGCCTGGAGGGAAGCAAAAAGGGGAGGTAGTTTTGGGGAAATTTGAAATGGACAAGATCTCAATCGCAGAGGAACACGAACACCAGACGCACTTGGCTTCTGTTGTCCCTGCCATCTCGCTTTCCTTCTCACATAACCTAACCTTACTTCTTCAAACATGGACCCCATTACCTCTCTTGCGTAACCCGCTGGGCACGGACCATTTCGCTCCCTTTGTTATGATCCAAGCGCTTTCCACACAAAACAGGGTGAAAATAATGTACATTTCCATACACCAATTCAGGCCTTCTCTTCTAGTCCCAAGGATTGCCTTCCTTTCGTTCACCGTGTTTCACTCAAAGATTCTAACAAAAATCATATTACTTCCGATCCTAATTATAAAACCTTATTTATATATTTCTAATTATAAAATCTTATTTGTAACCTATAAATAATATCTTATAATTAGGGATCAGAGGTAGTACAACAGATCCAACAAGAATCTTACCATCTTGAATGCAAAATAACTTATATTTGAGGAGAATTGTTATGAAGTCTATAATTACCCCTAATAATAACAGAATAACTTGCAATGATATGTTTCAAAATAATAAATAACTATCATAATTATTTTATTTCTTTGGAACATTAGTGTAATTCTTTCTCATGTCTATCCCCAACTGGTTGAGAAATAACCCTCTTAACAAACCTTTGATTATCTGTAACGAACCTATGCTCTTTTTA